GTGAGAAGATTTGTCTCAACTTCACCAAAAAAAATCCCTTCGGTCCATTTGATCGCATCCTTCGGAATCCTCACCCGCCCTTCGCAACATTGAGCTGTTTTATAAATGAGGCTCTGTCCTGGCCTCAACCTTCCTTCCTGCTAACTCATCTCTGATTATTTGTTTGCCTTTGGGCGAAGAAATATTTCCTGGTGTCTGCCCTGAAATTTCCCTATGCAATCTTAGACCCGTGTCCTCTTTCTCTGCTGTCTCGAAGCATATTCTGAGTTTACCTCTAATAATAATAACAATGCTAATAATCCTTGCCTTTGATATATTGTCTTACTACGTCTTCAAGACGTCTGAAAGCCATTTACGCACAGCAGTGGCCCACAAACAGTCGTGGATTTAGTGACCAAATTATTATTTAAGACATTTTTGTTTTGAAGGGATTATTAGCTCCGGAAAGCGATCCATCAATCGACTAACAACCAGGTTCCTCCTTGCCGTTTGGTAAAGAAAGAGATGGAGTAATGAAACTTGCCTAAGGTATCGCTCTGCCCGGGAATCGAACCCGGGTCCTCTCGCTTGTGAGGTGAGCTCTGTAACCACTACAGTACAAGCACTGCTCTTTGCTATTTCCCTCTTCAAGACTAAAGAACCCCATAGGTTGTCTGATTGATGCAAGTGGCTCTTCTCTCCAGCACTGGAGAACGCAGTCCTGTAGTTTAGTGATTAGAACGCTTGCCTCACTAGCGAGAGACGTGGGCTTGGTACCTGGCAGAGCGAAATGCTGGGCAAGTTTCCTTACCCCACCCACGTGCCTCTGTTATCCTGCAGTTCGTAGGAACCTGTATTTAATTGATTGATTTTTCCAGCGTAATAATAAAGATAAGTAACTTGGTGACTTAATCCACGGCTGTTTGTGGGGACGCTGCTGTGCGCAGTTGGCCGCCGCGTTTCACTTTACACGATATCCTACGAAGCGCTTTGAGACGTCTCAAAGTCGTGATAAGGCGCTGCATCAAATGCAAGGATTATCGTTCTCGTTGCTGTTAAGCGCTGCAAAACCCCGTCCGGATTGAAGGGCGCTATATAAATGCAATTTGTTGCTCTCTGCGTTGGATCTAAGTTATGAGCAGTTTCCCTGAGATCACAGTGATCGGAACCAGGCACTGTCCTCTAGTTCTGCATCTGGGGAACAGCAGATGGAAGGAATCTTTGCTGACATTTCTATTTGTGGTAATATGGAACATTACCCTCTTCCATGTGAAAGTGAAAGGCATTGTGTAAATGTTAGTTGCATATTGTGTTGTATCCACCAACAATCTTTGTGTGCAGGAAAGTGATTCAATTTGCTTATTCTCCTGGTTATTTATTTTCCCCCCCACCCCCCAACCCCAAACACTCCCAACCGGGTTCCCACTTCGCTGTGTGTAGTGCTTTGAACCATCCGCCTGATGTGAAAGGCACTACGCAGTTGCCTGTACAATAATAATAATAGTAATAATAATCCTTGCCTTTGGTACATCGCTTTATCGCACGTCGTCGAGGCATTTCAAAGCCCTTCCACTGTAAAGTAAATTGACTGTGTATTTTGTGGGCGAAACGCGGCAGCCAGTTGCGCACAGCAGCGTCCCCACAAACAGTCTCGTGGAGTGAGAGACCAATTTTATTCGGGGGATTGTTGTCCAGGACACCGGGCGAGAGAGAGAGAGAAACTCCCTTCTCTTTTCTAACTGCGCCACGGGAATCTTTAACCTCCACCTGAACAGGCAGACGGGCCCTCGGTTTAACACGTCATCGGAAGGATGGATTGCACAAGTACGTAGATTGCACAGCACATAAACAGGCCATTCGTCCCCAAAATAGTGGTTAGAGACAAGCGAGAGACCTGGGTTCGATCCCCGGGCAGGACAAAACAGAGCGAAACTAAAGGCAAATTTCCTTGCTGCACACACAGGCCTCTGTTTACCTCGTGGTAAGAAGGATCCCGATTGCTCGTCGACCGCCATGCTTCCTGGCAACCTGGTTAATGGTTAATTATCCGCTGTGTCAAAAGAGGTTAATCTATGATGGTCCACAGACAGAGTGGTTCTTTCAACTCACCTTCCATGTTGACATACCCTGAGGTGTGGGTGGCGTGGGCGGTGTTGGAAAGATCTTACGATGGTCCGACACGCACATCACCGTACCAACCTACTATTATAGGTCATCGTTGTTTCCACTGGCTTATCTGATCTGATCCTTCCACCCCCACACCCTCTCATCCTCTCACAATATCAAGCCCTTTGTTAAAAGTGTTCTATTCCTGGATTACCTTTCCTGCTAACCTCTTCCAATCATTAATTTTCTAATTGATTTATCATGTGTATTTATCACAGCGCTTCCTGTATGACCTAAAATTACCATTATTCTCAAAACCCTTGATTTCTTTTTCTGCCGACTCCGCGCTTCTCGAAGTAGCCCCCAAGGTGTTTCTGAAGGGGTCAGCAAAGTAAATAGGGAAACCCCGTTTCCTTTGATGGGGGAACCTTTTGTTGGATCATGTGGTGGGAGCGTAGACAACTTGCATTTACACGCACGCAGGGTAGAGTTCCAAGAACGCTCGACAGTGGCGGAGCACGACACCGAGCCGGGGGGAAGGGGGGAGGTGACCGTAGGCACGGTCGAAGAGGAAGGTCTTCAGGTGCGACCTGAAGATGGGGAAGGAAGGGGGCAAGGCGGAGGGAGAGAGGGAGAGTGTTCCAGGGTACTTGAAAGGGAAAAGTAATTGGAAGCCTATAGGGAAAGCGAGGGACTGGTTGGGTGGCTCTTTCACAAATCCGGATGGGCCGAATGGGCCGAAAGCCTTCCTTCTGTGCTGTGGGATTCTACGACAGTCGTTAGAGACAGGAGGTTTACCAGGATGCCACCAGGGATTCTATGATTCTATATTTCTGAACAAAAATTTCCATGAAGAAAAGGCTAAAACGTGGAGGATATCAGTGCTATTAATATTAATAATTATTATTCTGAAGGGGCATTTGCCGCTGCTATAATAATAATATTAATCTTAACATTTGATAGAGTGCCTTTCATGTCAGACTGCCCAAAGACTTTTATTTTAATAATAAATAATAATCATCGCATTTGATATAACGCTTTATCAGTCTTCGAGACACCTCCAGCGACTTGGGACATCCTCCCGACATGAAAGGCACTATACAAATGTCTGACAGAATAAGCTGTAAAGTGAATTGACTGTATATTTTGTGGGCAAACAGTTTTAATATCGAAGGATTTAAGGATCATTATTATTATTAATATGCAGGCGTGGCATCAAATTCTGCCACTATTAAGCATCGAGACGTAAAGTGTGCTCTATAAATGCAAAACGTTATTGCCGTTAGCAGAGTAATAAAATAAATAATGATCGTTGCATTTGTAGAGCGCCTTATCAGGTCTTTGAGACGTCTCAAAGCGCTTCACAGAATATACTATAAAGTGAATCGGCCGTATATTTTGTATAAATCGCTTATTGAGACGGGGAGAAGGAGCGGCAAGAAGCAGTCTGTCAATAATCTACAGAGTTTCTGGATCAGTAATGTTCAAACATGGCTTTGTACCTGTAACGTGCTTCCTGGAGAGTTTTGGGGTACTTTTCCCCGTTTTAATTTACTTCCTCGCAATTTGCAACTGGGACTTTCTAGATTCTTATTTGAGTGTCAACAACATGCCAGCTACGTGAGTACAGACGCTGATTAACATCAGTTGGACTCTGACTGCCAAATTTAACGGTTTCGAGAAACTTCAGCTCCAGGAAGTTCCACAGCGTAATGGCTCAGACACCTTTGCGGAGACTTTGCCAGAGGTTGATGACCAAAGTAGCCATGACTTTAAAGGCCCTTCCCACCTCCTTCAAAGCCCGTCTCAGGACCCTCCGCTTCAAATCCGGTTCTTAGTCGACTGGCGGATCGCTTTCTGGGGGTAACAATTCCTCCCTCTCTTCCCCTCCCACCCCCCCCACCCAAAAAAAAAAATCGGGTCACTCAATCCACGACTGCCTGTGCGCAAAAGGCTGCCGTAAATCTGCGAAGCGCTTTGAGACATCTCAAAGAGGTGCTATATCCAACGCAAGGATTACGATGAAGGAGTATTATTTCGGGGGGAAGCTCTACGGGTGCAAGTTGCCGTTGAGACATCTCAATTACTCTTCTTACCTTTATTACCAAGGAGTCCTGTAGCTCGGCGGGTTAGAGCGTGCTGCGCCCCGCAAGCGAGAGGCAGGGCAAGTTTGTGCGTGGTGGTGGGGGGGGGGGGGGGGGAACGCCGCTGGGCAACATACAGCCAATTCGCTTCGCAGTCTCGCCCGTGAGGGGCTTCGAGAGGTACCCGAAGCCTCGAAGAGCGCTCTTATCAAATGCAAGGATTATTATTAATAAGTGGGTGAGCCCAAACATGAGTGTGTGTGAGTGAGAGAGAGAGAGATGGTGGTGGTGGGGGGGGGGCTTGAACCCAACCATCTTCTGCCCTGAAGGGCAAGTGGCAGGAAAAAAACAGATTGTGCAAATGAATTGGTTCTTTTTTTTCCATTCTTTCTCTGATTTTCCCCGAGTGTGTGTGTGTGTGTGTGTGTGTGTGTATTTGAAGGAACGCCCATTTCCTATTGCTCACCACCACAGTCTCTGAACAGAACCCCCACCTCACACCCACACATTTCATCAGCGTTTGACCACTCTGAGCCCTCCCCCACGTGAATAATAAAAGAGAATTCCCCCACTCTCTCTCTCACTCTCACACTCACTCTCACTCTGTGTCTCTTTAACCAGGGTGGGAACAAGGAAACATCTCTTGCTGCAGTCGTGGTGTCCTCTGGATTTTGGGAGCAGATCTCACTCAGCCACCACTGGGGCACTGGGGTAAGACATCACTCCATCAATCACTCCATCAATCAACCCAGAGAGAGAGAGAGAGAGAGAGAGGACATCCATCAGCTGCCATCTGGTCCTGTCAATACCCCCCATCTCAAGAGGCAGGGGGTCTGCCACCTTCAACGCCTCTTTCTTCAGGGATCTCAGATCGGTTTGTGTTGGATTTAAGCTGTAAGTTTTTATTTAAGTCCTTACTTTCTCTCTCTCTCTCTCTCTCTCTCTCCTCTTTTTTTTGGGGGGTGCGTTAAACTGGTTGCGATCTCACTTAAACATCGCTCTCCTTTCTGTCTGTGTCTGTTTGTGTTGTCTGTTGTTGTTATCGTCGTCGTTGTTGTTGTTGTTGTTATTGTATTTCACGCCTTTTTCTCTTTGTCGAGACGTTTTCTTTTTTTTGAATTGAACATTTGTGGAGCTCTTTAAAAGTTCCTTCTCTCCTCTCTCTCTCTCTCTCTCCTCCTCTCCCTCTTCTTTCCTTCCTTCTCTCTCTTTTTCTCTCTCCTCTCTGCCCCCTTCCCCCCTCTCTCTCTCTCTCTCTGTCCTCTCTTCCCCCCCACACCCCAAACCCACTTTCCCTTTGCGAATAGATCGGCCAAAGCGAAACAAAACGCATTTTATTCGTCGTTTGGAACAAAACTCAGGAGGAAATGGCTTTGTAGAGCACATTTACTGGTGATCACACACTCACACACTCTCTCTCTCTCTCTCTCCACTCTTTTGCTGATCCACTGATCCAACTTCACTCTTATTAAACGAACAAAAAATAAGTTTAAAAGAAGATGCAAAGAAAGAATGAAACCCGCAAACCAACCCCCAGATGGGATTTATTTCTCTATCCGACCACCACGACTCTGTGCGCACCAGTCTCTCGTCGAAGTCTCTGTGTATGTCTGTCTGTCAGTCTCTATCTGAGTCTCTGTACGTGTCTGTGTGTCAGTGTCTGTGTATGTCTGTGTGTCAGTCTCCATCTGAGTCTCTGTACGTGTCTGTGTGTCAGTGTCTGTGTAGGTCTGTGTGTCAGTCTCCATCTGAGTCTCTGTACATGTCTGTGTGTCAGTGTCTGTGTATGTCTGTGTGTCAGTCTCCATCTGAGTCTCTGTACATGTCTGTGTGTCAGTGTCTGTGTATGTCTGTGTGTCAGTCTCTATCTGAGTCTCTGTACGTGTCTGTGTGTCAGTGTCTGTGTAGGTCTGTGTGTCAGTCTCTATCTGAGTCTCTGTACGTGTCTGTGTGTTCAGTGTCTGTACATATCTGTGTGTCAGTCTCCATCTGAGTCTCTGTACAATGACTGTGTCTGTACAAATCTGTGTGTTAGTCTCTGTCTAAGTCTCTGTACATGTCTGTGGGTCAGTCTCTGTACTTGTCTGTGTGTCAGTCTCTGTACATGTCTGTATCAGTCTCTATCTGAGTCTCTGTGAGTGTCTGTGTGTCAGTCTCTAAGTCTCTGTACATGTTTGTGTGTCAGTCTCTAAATCTCTGTACATGTCTGTGTGTCAGTGTCTAAGTCTCTACATTTCTGTGTGTTAGTCTCTCTCTAAGTCTCCATATATCTGTCTAAGTCTCTGCATGGCTCTATATCTCTGTGTTCGTCTCTTTCTGTGGCTCTATAATAATAATAATCCTTGCAATTTGATATAGGGCTTATCGCGTCTTCTAGACATCTCAAAGCGCTTCACAGAATACACTATTGTGACTGTATATTTTGTGGGTGAAACACGGCAGCCAATTGCGCACAGCGACATCCCACAAACAGTCGTGGATTGATTGACCAAATTATTTTTTTCTTGAGGGATTATTATCAGGCACGTGGAGTATATGTCCGTGCATCAATCTCTATGTGCCTAGTAGTCTCTTTAAGTGCTCTGGGACGCTACATAAATGCAGGTTGGTTTCAAATTTTTAAAAAAATTATTATTAGTTTTATTAATTTTAAAATTAATTTTAATTTTAAAATTGAGTGACGTGGTCACTCAATCCACCACGGTTTGTGGGACGTCGCTGAGCTTAACTATACAGTCACAACAGTATATTCTGTGAAGATGTGATAAGGTGCTATATAAAATGCAATTATTATTGCTATTATCCTGTGAAACATGTCTCGACGATTTAACAAGTGCTATATCAAATGCAAGGATAATTATTTTTATTACCATGTTCCTCTATCTCTTTTCAATCTCTTTCTATAGCTCTACGTGTCTATTAATCGCTTTCGACGTGTTACAGGGTGCATCTGTGCACCTGGTACCCGTTGTGTTGGTGTGCACATTCCTACTTGCCAGTTAAGTACAGTTAAGATTCCGTTAAATTAAAGTTGTTATTCCTTTTTATTAAAATACAAATTGAGGATCAAGGCCATAAAGAGCACAGCAGAGAAACAAAACAGTTCAGCAAATCGCATTGTCATGCTTAATAGTATCCGAGCCAGACCAGCACTCTGGGAAGCTACCCCATGCGAATGGCACGATATGAGTCAAGTTGTTGTTAGAGTTCCACATTGGTATATAATAATAATAATAATAATAATCCTTGCATTTGATACAGCGCTTTTCACGTCGGGAGGACGTCCCAAAGCGCTTCACAGAACACACTGTAAAGTGAATTGACTGTGTATTTGTGGGCGAACGCGGCAGCCAATTGCGCACAGCAATGTCCCACAAACAGTCGTAGATTGAAAATGACCAATTTATTATTGTTTTTTTGGTTTTGGAGGGATTATTACGATAACGCGCGCACACACGCACCTATGGCCGGCGCACGGACACAAAACATATATATATATCACTGTTAATACGTGGAAACCTGGATCACCTGGCTCGCAGGTGTGTGATCTCACTTGCTCGCAAGGCTAGCGGACCTGGGTTAGATTCCTGGCCGGATGAAATTTTGGACCTTAATCCATACGTCTCTGTTTACTCAGCGGCAATTAGGAACACAGTTGTTAGTTGATTGGCTTTTCTGGGAGTTATATTCCTTTTTATTTTAAATAATAATTTGGTCACTCGACCCACAGACTGCTTATGGGACACTGCTGTGCGCAATTGGCTGCCACGTTTCACCCACAAAACATCCAGTCAATTCACTTGACAGTATATTCTGTGAAGCGCTTTGAGACGTCTCGAAGACGTGATAAGGCGCTATATCAAATGCAAGAATTATTATTGTTATGCGACTGGATTATTATTTTTATTGGATAATGCTCAGGTTGTTAAGTTGTTCTTGTTGATTGCTGTGTGTATAAACACATGGTGTGTTATTGAGTATAATACTGTGAATTATATAATTACACATAGCACGCCTAGTGTTACGAGATATAACAATCATGCATTTTATCATGCAATAACACACAATGTGGTACTGAGTTTAACACATGGGCGCGAACGATCACTTCATCGACCACAGGTAAGATAGGTGCAGATGTGTGAGATGCACGGGCGCTGTGGTGGATGTGTGAAGCGTCTATTTATAGCTGGGATAGTGGAGCGGTGCGTGATAAAGGATTAGATTACGCGCCTGAATCGGTGCTGCCTTTGAACCCGGGTTCCCTGATGAGTTTCCTGAGGTCAAATGTGAAAAGAATGGAATCGCTCTCGTCAGCAGCTGGCGGTCACTGTGCAGCTCTTGAAAGCTCTTCCTAATAAATCAGTTTGTCTCAGCCGTTCCCACTTCCCGCCTCTGTGTCTTGGGTTCAAGCCCCTTCATCAAGATGCCAAGCGCACCCACAGGGAGAGATTTTATTTTGTGTCAGAGTGAAGGCCTGTTAAAAGTTTCTGAGATTGTTCACTGTCGTCTGGATGTTGGGAAACAGCCTGCACAGTGTCGAGCTAAATCTCCTGCTGGTGCTGCAACCTGCGGTGAATGAAATCAGTTAATTTGCAGTGCCTCAGTGAAACAGATATGACTGCAATCTTGGAAATCCCCATATGCAATTAAACCGGCGCTGGGAGCCACTGCTACAAACATTTGCATTGTTTCTTTGCCTCTGGGGAATATCCAGGGGTTTTACTTTCTGCTTTAATTTCAGGTGGGGGAGTTAATTGACTCAGATATTTCACTTTTTCGTTAAATTGGTTCTTGCCCCACCCCACCCTCTGCCAACAATTCACCCAGAATCTTGCTACCTCTATTTCTTGGCTTTTCAAACACTCTCCTTCGCTGGCCTCCCTAATAATAATAATCATACTAATTATTATTTGTTACAGCGCCTTGTCATGCCATCCAGATGTTTCGATAGGCCGTGTTTTGCGGGCTCACGCCATGGCTTCGAAGCGCTTTGAGGCGTCTCGAAGACATGATAAGGCGCTATATCAAATGGAAGGAATATTATTTTGTGGCTATTTGCAAGACATCGCTGAGTGCAAAATTGGCTGCTTTGTTTGCCCATAAATATACAGTCACTGCGCTTTACTTTATAACCCGTGAAGTGCTTTAAGATGTCTCGCTGCCTTATTAAGATGCCCTAACAAACCTAAGGATTATTCTTATTTTAATCTAACGTTCTCATTGTCTCTTCACCTAGGGGTGAACAGTCTTTAATTCTGGAATGTAAAGTCTGGAGATGTTGAGATGAAATATTATCATGGCTGTCCGAAGTGTTCATTGGAAGAACGACTAAGTTTGGTGAAGCTTTGGACGGTGAGTTTTCCTGATCTCGACCCGTTTCAGTGCTTTTCTTCTATTTAAATAATAGCGTGTTTCCAATTCATTTTCTGTTTGTTTTTCTCCCCATTAGATCTGCCTCCCCAGCCCTACCTCCTTTACCCTGCTATCGCTCCTTTGTGAACGGTTGGGCCTTCAGCCTCTCTGTCCCCATCCTTTGAAACTCCACCCCACAGTCCCTCCACCTCACCCCCTGCCCTCGCCTCCTCCAAGGCCCATCTCAAGACGCACCTCTTCGACCTAGTCACCTACCCCTACCCTCCCTGCCCTCCTACCTCCTGACCCCAACCCCCAGCTCGGGTGCAGATCCCGACTGTCCAGCGCCTTGGGACGTCCTCCTGACATTAAAGTGCTATTCAAATGTAATGTGTTATATCAAATGCAAGGATTATTATTCTGAGTCACTTGTGTTCAGAGCGCAAGGGTGTCTGTGCCCTGTTGCGATGCACAATAATTCCTAACTCAGGAATCCTGTGTAATAAGCGCTCTGAGACGTCACCGTGCATGAGGGAAGCGTGCTGCGCAAATGTAAGTTGTCGACGTTGTATTGAAGTGCTCTTTTTTTTCCTCCCTTTTTGATAGCTGTTTTGCCTTTCAATGGTAATTGTATCACACAAGTCTGCGGGTTGCCAGTTCAATGGATTCCGGCCACACACCACCACTTACAAGGGGAGCTTTAATAAACTGGTGCGTGCTGCCTTACCTTGTCTGTGCTCATAATAATAATAATAATAATAATCCTTACATTTGGTATAGAGCCTTATCGTGCCATTGAGACGTCTCAAATCGCCACACGGAATATACTGTAAAGTGTATTGACTGTATTTTGTGGTTGAAACGCTGCAGCCAATGGCGCACAGCAGTGTCCCACAAACAGCCGTGGGTTCAGTGAGTAAATTATTATTAATATTATTATCCTTTCACTTGCAGAGAACGCACCTGCCCTTAGATTACAGCCTGACTGTGATGCTGTTGGATCATGGCCATCGGGTAGGTGTTTCTAGAAACATGGAAATAGGAGGAGGCCATTCAGCCCCTCGAGCCTGTTCCGCGAATCGATAAGATCATGTACCTCAAGTCCAATTACCCGCCCTTGCTCCATATCCCTTGATACCCTGACTTGGGGAGGACGGAATTGTCGGGCGGTGGTGGAAGGGGAGAGCATAAGGATGGGGTGAAAATAATATTGTAGAGAACGCACCAACCTGCAGTTGCTGCTTGGCTCCCGTCAGCGCCTCCAAACCTTGGGCGCGGGCAGCATTACCCTTCCTGGATGCACTCTGCACCTCATGGAGCCAATACAGAACCTCGACGTCCTGTTTGACCCTCAACTGTCCTTCAACCCCCCCTCCCCACACCCCACACCCCCCCCCCCCGCTCTGATGCAGATCCCTGACTGACCTCAGCAGTGTCCCACACACACAGTTGTGGATTGAGTGACCATTATTATTATTATTTTGTTGTTGTATTTTTCAGGAGTTATTACCGTTTCATGTCTTGACTTCTCGATTGCTTCTGTCCTCCCTCCCCCCCACCATTCTCTCCCCCCAGGATCCCTGCTGTGTGGCTCTACAAGAAATGTTGTCTTTCCGATATTCCCTCTCACACCTCGTCAACCACTCTGTCAGCCCCCTACGTGACATCTCCAAAGCTGCCTTCAACGAAGCTAAATTTCTAGATGACTGTCCTGTGAATGTAAGTTTCCTCTCCTTTCTCCCTCCCCACACATGACACTTCACACAGAACTACTAAACAAGCGTATAGGATTCTAGTAGCCGAAGGCACGGTCCAAGAGGAAGGTCTTTAGATGTTTCGAAGTGGTGATAAGGCGCTATATCAAATGCAAGGATTATTATTGTTAATTATTATTATTGTTATCCCAGAAATCGTGGGGGTGCAGGAGTGAGCAATGGAACGCCACGCACCTCCTCCAGAGGCTGGAGCAGAGCATGAATTCCTTTGACACCAACTATAGTAAGAATGTATGCCCGTTTGAAGATTGCACGCTCTTTACCTGTATCTCAGGTAAGTCTGAAGACAGGCTCATTCCTTTCTCTCTAATCAGCTACTAAACATTTTCCCGGGAACAATAACATCTTATATATTTGTGAATACTTCTGCCAACTTAGTCTTGAGTAAACAGTATCTTATCTTGTTATTACCCTGTGTGAGTTGCATTTTATTCTTTGGGTTCCAAAGACATCATAAGGCGCTATATCAAATGCAAGTATTATTGACGTGGTTTATGTGATGTGACTCAGAAACTGACTGTGTTTGTAGAGGCTGAAGGCACCACCGCTGGGGGTGGAGAAGTGAATGGGGTGGGGCAAGTGAATGCCATCCCCACCCCATTCACTTCTGCACCGTCAGCGGTCGGGCCTTCAGCCTCTCTGCCCCCAACCTTTGGAACTCCATCCCACAGTCCTGGAAATCATAACCCATCAACCTTTGACTCAGATTAGCACTTTGAGCTCATGTAAAGGCTGTCTGACAGCCTTGTGTTGGGAGCATTGCATTGATGGAGGTGTTGTCCTTAAATCCAGCTGACGTCTGCTTGTTCAGGTGGAAATTAAACCTGGCGCTAGATGAAAAGAGAAGGGAGTTTCTCTCTCTGTATCCGGGCTAATGTTCCCTCTCGATCAAGGTCACCACTCGCTACACGAATGGCTATTTGCGGGGACGTTGCTGTGTGCCAATTAACCGCTGCCTTCGCCTGCAAACACAGTCACTCCACTTTACAGTAAGCCTCTCGCCAGCCAGAGGACCCGGGCATGATCCCCGGGTGCGGATCAGGGCAAAATCATGAGCAAGTTTCCTTAGAAGTGTTGATTCTTTCAAAAGCAAATTAGTTTCTTTGATTTCTTTGAGGAAATAATCTGTGAGGGAAATGCGGCAGCAACTAATAATATCTCGGGATACAGTGTACAGTTTGAGTTATGACTTGTGCATGTGACATCCAAGATGGACCTTGATCTTTCATCTAGCAAATTTTTATGTTTTAATGTGCTTTACGCGCCTCTGTTTACCTAACAATAAATCGGTCACCTGGTTGTCAGTTAATTGCTTTGTGGGGGTAATAATCCCTTCAAAAAAATAAATAAGAATAATTTAGTCAACAACTTGCTTTTATACAGCTCCCCCTCACACAGGGTTAGCTTCCCAGAGCGCTTCAAGCCACGACTATATGTGTGCGGGCGCTTCTGCAAGCAATTGGCAGCCGCGTTTGGCCCACAAAACACACAGTCGCTACACTTTACGTGATAAGGCTGCTGCATCAATTGCGAGGATTATTGTTGTTTCGTGCGAATGATTATCATTCTTATCCATGATCATTAATAACATCGTGCGCGATTTTGTTTCCTTCACAGTCTCGGAAAAGCTGGTGCTGAGCACCTCCCTGCCACTGTCCAACAAGGCTCCGCCCGAGGGATTGGACACGTTACCTGCGGTGAACGAGACGAGCACTGGGTCAGCGGCGATGGAGAACAAGACCATCAAGTCCGCCACTCAAACAGACTTCACCGCAGACTTAGGGCTCAGCCAAGGGGCACTCTTGGTACTACTGATCATCAGCGTCATCATCAATGCCGTGTTAGTGTACTACCTGCTTAAGAAGAAACAGCAACCGGTAAGATAATAATAACAATAATAATCCTCGCGTCTGATATCGAGCCTTGTGACGTCTTCGAGACGTCTCAAAGAGCTTCACAAGATACACTGTAAAGTGTAGTGACTGCATTTCGCCCACAAAATATACAGTCAAATGCGCTTGACAGTGTTTCCAGCGAAGCACTTTGAGACGTCTCAATGGCGTGGATAAGGCGCGATATTAAATGCAAGGATTATTATACTTCCCAGGTGAAATATTATTATTAGCCCTCCGTAAAGGGCGCTATATAAATGCAAGTTGTTGTTGTTATCGTTATTCTTACTCCACTTTGCAATATATATATTTTTTGATCGCTTTCCTGGATCAATAATCTCTCCCCAAATAATAATAAATTGGTCACTCAATCCACGGCTGTGCGCAATTGGGCTGCCGCGTTTCGCCCACAAAATACACAGTCAATTCACTTTACAGTGTATCCTGTGAAGCGCTTTGAGACGTCTCGACGACGCGATAAGGCGCTGTATCAGATGCAAGATATATTATTATTATTATTATTGTTGGGTCCCTCAAGCGTCCTCCAGCAAGGGCTGAAATAGAGCCGTTATCCGTGTTGGTCGCTACGACCGGGGAGGAGTGAGGCAGCGAGGAAGAGGAAAGAGTGAGGAAGGTGAGCGTTCTGCCTCGGGAACATTTTGTTGATGAGATGCTACACCCTCTTCTGAACCTCTTATCACATTCATCCCCAATTAGTCAGACAGCACTTCCATGTGGCGAGCTACGCATTTTCAGTTGGCCAAACTCCACCAACCCTCTCTGGGATCCCCCAGCTTGAGCGCTTGCCATCTTTTGCCCAGTACTCACGTCGTGATAAGGCGCTATAACTCAAGGATTAGTATAATTATTATTGGGATAAGCAGCGTCCGTCCCTCCACACACAGAGAGAGAGGGTGCGTTCCATTCCAATCATTTTCAACTGTAGGTGACCAATGTATGTGGAATTCGGTCTGGTTTGGATACTCTTTGATCCAAACGGGAATAGTGATGGGTTTCCGCATGTGGCAGACATCGAAATGGATAGGTAGATACTGGGATAGGGTCTCTGTCTATACCCTTGTCACCCTTTGGATGACAGAGGAAACAATCAAGGCGAAAGAAAGCAAGTCTACCCCTACTATCCCCGCCCGCCCTCCACCCCTCCTGACCTCAGCCCCCAGCTCGGTGCGATCCCTGACTATCCAGCGCCTTGGGACGTCCTCCTGATGTGAAAGCCGCTATACGAATGTAATTTGTTGTTGTTCCCAGGCCCCCAAGCTTCTGTCTGAAGGACTCATCTTACTTGCCATGTTGGAAGTCGCCTAAAGGTCCTCTCACCATCCCCTACCTGCTGAGCATTGCTGTTGCCATTCCCGTTGCCCCTTCCCTTACGCCTGCCACACCTACGGTGCTCAGAGGAATGGAGGGTTGGGCGGGGGTAGGGGGGAGTCTGTGTGTCTGCTCTGCTCTTCAAATCTTCATTGTACAAAAGACTCACGGTGACGAGGGAAGAGACGATGCTTGTGTGGGGAAGATGCCAGACGCCTTCGCGAGCCTCTACGATAGGGGAGGAATGGGAGCACGGAGACTTCACATAACGTAGGGGAGGGACACAGCTGGAATTCCAACCTCCGAATTGAGAAACTCCTATCCACAGCCATTTCATGGAGTCCCGTGGCTCAGTGGTTAGAGCCCTCGCCTCGCAGGCAAGAGGACCCGGGTTCGATTCCCGGGCAGGACAAATTTCCTTACTCCACCCACACACGCCTCCGTTTACCCAGCAGTAAGTAGGAACCCGGTTGTTAGTCGATTGGAGGATCACTTTTCCGGGGGTTACAATTTCTTTATTTTAAAAAAATGATGATAGTAATAATAATAAATTGGTCACTTCAACCCACGACTGCTTGCGGGACACTGCTGTGAGTTTTGCCCACGAAAATATATAATCAATTAATTTTACAGTGTATCCTGTGAAGCGCTTTGAGTCATCTCAAAAACATGATAAGACGCTGTACTCAAATGCCAGGATTATTATTATTATTATTTTCCCACCGCCCACATTTCATGTCCTGTTCCTGTTAGCAATCCAAGCCGGAAATGCACTGAATATTTTAAGATATTTTTAATGTATTTTTGTATAATATATATATATATTTTTCTTACATTAAAAAGCACCAGTTGCCCGCTTCACCAGTTGCCCGGGTTAACTCTGCCTCTCTCTCTCTCTCTCTCTCTCTCTCTCTCTCTCTCTCTCACCTATGTTCTTTGATCACTGTTTCCCGGCTTCCCTTAAAGCCTTTAACCGCTGAACTTATGGATTACAGCACTGAGCCAGTGACTGGTGGCAGAGCATCCTCCCACTCAGCTCCCATTCACCCTGCAAGCCAAAGCCCCAGCTAACAGGTGGGGTGGTCCTAGCTGGATGAGCAGTGGGAAAGCTTGGCCAGACAGCAAAACCAATAGCAAGCAATGCGGATTTAGCTGGTTAGACATCAGCAGTCACCCCAACGCCAACTCTGGGCGCCCTTCAAGCCTGGGCTCTCGCCAACCTGCGCCTAATGCGAATTAAGTAAGCGGGATCCATCCCTCCAGGGAGAGAGAGAGAATATTCCGTTCCAACGATCTATCTCTGGGATTTCCTTGTGTATGTGGGAGGCAGGGAATTCTCAGCTTGGTTTGGAGACTCTTAAGCAATGTTTCCGCATGTGTTAGACACCCGGCTGACCAAAATAACTGAGCCATTCAGAACAGAACAGGTTGGAGTGATCGATATCCATGTTGAGTTGCTGATTGCTGTCAATTGCCCTGGGGACGCTGCTGTGCCCACAAAAACACACAGTTAATTCACTTTACAGCATGTCCCACAAAATGCTTTGAGACATCTCAAAGACGTGATAAGGTGCGATATCAAAATGAAAGGATTATTATTATCATAACCCCCACCCTGCGCTCTTGAGGACATGATACGTTGTATTTTCCTGTGATGCTTATAACTACACGAGTCTGACTATACAGGGGGGTAGTTTTGCTGGGAGAAGAGAGGACAAGGAGTTGTGAGGGATCACTTTGCCCCTTGGAAGGGAAGGAAACCATCTCGCCCAGATATGATTGGTTTTCTGGTGCTCAACAATCTCTCCGCTTTGTACATTTGTGACTGATGTGTAACGTTTTATCGCGTATATCTAAAGCTTCTCTAAAGTATAACATATTTATTTTATTATGAAATAAAGCGTTGCGTGATTAGATATTTTGATACCCAAGCTTGTAATTGATTCTTTTTTTTATCTTCTTGATGTCTCTATCCCTCTCTTCCCCCCTGTCTCTCTCTCTATCTCTCTCTCTCTCTCCCTCCCTCTCTGTCCCGCTTTCTGCCCCTGGCTGTACAGAAGGCTCGGAGTTGATCAATATTCGCCGCACTCTACAGTAGTGAGGGAAATTGGCTCTGTACTGAGAGGAAGAAGTTGGATTGAGGAAGAAACTTAAGACGACCAGAGAGCAAAGCAGAGTAAGAAGGGGATGGAGTAATGAAGGACAGAGCGGTTGGGGAGGTATTTGGGGAAGAGAGAGACAGAGTCAATGAATAGATTGTGGAGTCCCGTAGTGCAGTGGTTAGCACGCTCGCCGCACAAGCGAGAGGACCAGGGTTTGATTGAAAGCGCTTCGCAGGATATATTGTAAAGTGAAGTGACTGTATTTTGTGGGCGAAACGCGGCAGCCAATTGCGCACAGCAGCGTCCCCACGAACAGCCGTGGATTGAGTGACGACATTTTTTTATAATTTGAAGGGATTATTACTCCCGGAAAGCGTTCGACTAACAACCGGTTGCTAGTTGCTGCTCGGAAAACAAGCGTAAGAAAACTTGCCTAAGGTTTCGCTGCGGGAATCAAACCCCGTTCCTCTCGCTTGAGACCAATATACTACAGGACTCCTACATTATTATTATGGTATTATGATGCGTAACCTACATGGCAGTGTAGAGCAAGACGTCAAAGGGAGTTTGTTCCTTGCTGGAGTGACATCAAACCTCGGTACTGCTTCAATTGGGAACTCCCCACTGATTGTATCATCTGCACCCGCTGTGGGTAATAATCTTATTGCAATCTCGGACTCCAGGTTTAATCTCTCTGCTGTAACACTAAGCGTTCATTCCTCCCCAAACATGTTGTCAGTGCATGGACCTTAGCTGAGGCCTGTAGGTTTTGCTCCTGAGCTGTGAGCTACTGCTTTTCTTCCTCTCCTCTCTCTCACACACATTCGCACTCTCACGCACGAACAAACTCTCATACTCTCACTCGCACTTTCACACTCGCTCTCTTTCTCTCTCAAGTACTCACTCTACAGAAGTACATAACAACAACAAGATTCCATTTATAAAGCGCCTTTCACGTCATCAGGACGTCCCAAGGCGCTGAGAATCGTTGCTGGCGAAGGAAGCCCACGATCCATCCAGTTTGCCTTCCACCAGCCTGCCAGTCACGTGAAATGTATCCCAAACTATATATAGTTCCCGAGATATTATTTTCTAGCAGAAATCTACCTAATTTGTCTTGAAACAAACAACACTTTCTGCTTCTACTGCCTCTCTAGAGGATTGGCGGATCACTTTCCGGGGGGTCATAATCTTTTCAAATGAAAAAGATAATAATAATAATAATAATGTGGGAGATGCTGCTGTGCGCAATTAGCTGCCGCGTTTCGCCCACAAAATTCACTTGAAGTGCATCCTGTGAAGCGCTTTGAGACGTCTCAAAGACGTGATAAGGCGTCATAATCCAACCTAATGATTATCATATCGATTGCGCCCGTCCGTCACCCATCAAAATACATCCGCTCAAAGGATCTCTTGCGTTCATAAAAAAACACAAAAAAAAACACGCAGGATTGTTCCTCTCCTAAGATGATGTGGATTAATTTGGCAGGGCATTGCGTGCTGTCTGACGCAGGGATTTCGAGTCTAAACTCTGTTCATTTCATCACTCGCCGTGTCCTCGCATCTGGAATACATCTTGCCTGCTGCCTCCTGCCTGCTGTGGTCAGACGGAATCTCTCAGGTGAGTCTAACCCAAAGCTTTTAGACGAGAGAAAGGTTCACAGAGAGAAAAAGAGAGAGAGAGAGAGATGGGTAGAAAAAGATGGGGACGGGAATAGAGAGGTAGAAAGAGGGAGATACAAAACAGAGAGAGAGAGAGAGATAGAAAAAAAGTTAGGGAGACCTGAGGGACGCGGAGAAAGATGGGGAGAGACGAGTTTCATGGCTTTTACGCAAGAGAAAGATTCACAGAAAGAGATGGGGAGGAGTGCGGGGATGGGGGAGAGAGAGCGAGGGAGAGACAAGGACAAAGGGAGGGGGAGATTACGGAGAGAAAGATGGGGAGGGAGAGAGAGAGAGAAATGGAGGGAGGTTGACTCAACTTTTAAAAAAATACATATTTTGTTCTTTAAAATATCACATACCCTCTGCAATTATTGTGTCTTTTGCCCACTTTTAACCCAGACTACGCAGAAACAGTTGCCGGGCATAATCGAGGCAGCATCAACGAGTATTTTGAGACTCCTGCGAAGTAACAACGATGATAATCCTTGTATTCGATACAGCGCCTTATCACATCTTTTGGATGTAAAGTGTAGTGACTGTATATTTTGTGGTCTAAACGCGGCAGCGTCCCACAAACAGTCGTGGATTGAGCGACCGCATTATAATTATTTTTGAAATTTTTTTTTTTTTTGAAGGGATTATTACTCCCGGAAAAGTGATCCGCCAATTGACTAACGACCGGGTTCCTACTTATTACTGAGCAAACAGAGGCGCGCGCGCGTGTGTGTGTGTGTGGAGTAAGGAAACTTGCCTGATGTTTCCCCCGGCCCGGGAATCGAACCCAGGTCCTCTCGCTTGCGAGGCGAGGGCTGTAACCGATTCGCTACGGGAATCCAGAAATCCGTAGCAAACCATCGGACGGTGTAATTTGAGCAAAGTATCAAATCAGATTCGCAGAATAAGCGCAGGGATTATACATATATATTTTTTTTATCAAATCCCAATTTGGTTTCAATCCAGAAAGGCTGGCGAGGACGGAAAAGGGTTAGCGGGGAGGTCAGGTTTAAGCTATTTTTGGATCTTAATATTAAAAAAATGTGGGCAAATGCTCAACTTCTATATGTCCTGAAAGGTAATGTGTAACATAGATGAGATGGAGGAGGGTGAGAGAAAGAGGGGGAGACAGAGGCAGGCAGAGATAATATTAATAATGATGATAATAATAATAATAATCCCTGGGGTTGATATAGCGCCTTACCATGTCTTCGAGACGTCTCAAAGAGCTTCACAGAATATACTGTGAAGCGAATTGGCTATATCTTGTGGGCGAAAGAGAGGGGGAAGAGACTAATAATAATAATAATCCTTGCATTTGATATAGCGCTTTTCCCGTCGGGAGGACGTCCCAAAGCGCTTCACAGAACACACTGTAAAGTGAATTGACTGTATATTTGTGGGCGAACGCGGCAGCCAATTGCTCACAGCAATGTCCCACAAACAGTCGTAGATTGAAAATGACCAATTTATTATTGTTTTTGGTTTTGGAGGGATTATTATTAGGCTCTGTGTGGAGTAAGGAAACTTGCCCAAGGTTTCGCCCTCTGCCTGGAATTGAACTCAGGTCTCTCACTTGCAAAGCGAATGCTCTAACCACTGAGCTACAGGACTCCACTGAGGGATGAAGAGAGGTATATATATATATATATAGAGAGAGAGAGAGAGAGACAGAGGGTGGGAGGCAGAGAGAGAGAGAGAGAGAGTGTGAGAGAGACAAGGGAGAGAGTCGTCGTGTGTGTTCATCTTTCTCCGCCATTCTCTACCTCTCGTGATCCCTTTATCTCTCCTTTTCTCTTTTTCCTCTTGTGTCTTTTTGACCCTCTCACTCTGTCCCTTTCTGCCTCTCTTTTTTTTTCTCTCGCTGTCTCTTTCTATCCATCGTTTGTGTCCACACCTCACTGCTTGTTCGGTTGCCAGTGTACATATAATCCGTCTTGTCATCGGGTTCTACGTAAGACAGACATCTCCATCACTGGTACCCCGTTTTGACCACAAGACTGTATTTCCTATCTTATCCCACCAAGAGGTGCTGTCTCACTACTCCATAGTAATTTACAGGACCAAAAAAGCCATTGCAGTCTATCTGGTTGGCCCCCAAAGCAAACAAATTAAACCTCTCCTTATAATAATAATCCTCGTATTTGATACAGCGCCTTATCACGTCTTCGAGAAGTCCCAAAGCGCCTCAGACAATGTACTGTAAAGTGTCGTGACTGTGTATTTTGTGGGCGAAACGCAGCGGCCAATTACGCACAGCAGCGTCCCCACAAACAGTCATTGATGGAGTGACCACATTTTTTTTTTTTTTGGAAGGATTATTACCCCACGGAAAGCGATCTGCCAATCGTGTAACAGTCGGGTTCCTATTTACTCCTAATCCCAGCCGGACAATTTGTATGCCTTCCCAACTCTTCCCTTCACAAGCTGCAGATCATCCAAAACTCTGCAGCTCGTGTACTCTCGACACCAGGCTCCCCGACCCCATCACTCGCCCGACCCCACCGGCTCCCCATCCCCCAGAGGATCGAGTTCAAGATCCTCGTCCTCACCTTTAAGGCCATCCATGGCCTTGCCCTCTCCTACCTCTCTGACCTGATGACTCCCTACCAACCTGCCCGCTCCCTCTGTTCATCGGGCTCCGGCTGCTCCATGTCTCCCGCCCGACCCGCCCTACCATCGGTGGCCGGGCTTTCAGCCTCTCTGCCCCCACTCTCTGGAATTCCATCCCACGGTCCCTTGGCCTCGCTTCCTCCCTCGCCTCCTTCAAGGCCGGTCTCAAGACCCTTCTCTTCGACCGTGCCTTCAGTCTCCCTCCCACCTCTCTCTCTCACCCCTACCCCACCCTCCCCCAAGCTCGGGCTCCGATACCTGACTGTTCAACTCTTTGGGACATGAAAGGCGCTCTATAAATAATAATGAGAGCCGTTCTGAAACTAACTGCTCGTCCATTTTCTATACACACACCCTCCATCCTTTGGATGAGATGTTAAACCTTTGTGCCCGTTCAGGTAGAGGTAAAGATCCCACCGCACTATTGGAGAAGAGAAGGGGGTTTCTGTCCCTCGGTGTGTTCTGGTTGACAATTCCCGAAACAAATAATTGGTTATTCACCTCATGGTTTTCTGTGCTCATGGAAATAGGCTGCCACGTTTGTCTACAAATACACAGTCACTACACTTCGCAGGAACCTCTGTGAAGGACAGTATAGAAGGAGCTTTACTGTGTCTCTAACCCTGACCTGGGAGTGTGGACGCACGGTGTAGAGGGAGCTTTATACTGAGGATAGACTGCTATACAAGAATGTTTAAGGGTTAAAGGTCCACACAAAGGAACTCAATGTTAGAACATAAAACGGTACGAGTGACAAGTGCCCCTCTAAGAAGTTCACTCGCAGATTACTTATGTTGTAAGTCAGATGTGGGTGACGGATGCAAAGGATCTTAGCAGAGATCAAGCAAGACACAGACCCAGATGCTGTCCAGTGTAAATATAAAAACTGGCAATGCTTCTGCTCAGAGTATTAATCCCGAACAGGGGCCGAGAGAGAGAGAGAGAGAGAGAGAGAAAGCAGCCAGACACGAGGTGACCTAGATATTACAGCCAGGCAAGCAGAATACGTTTCGCCCACAAATATACAGTCAATTCACTTTGCAATATATTCCGGGAAGCGCTTTGAGACGTCTCGAAGATATTGTAGCTTTCTGGGCGAAACACGGCAGCCAATTAATTACGCACCGCAGTATCCCACAAACAGTCACGGTTTCAGTCACCAATTTTTTTATTTGAAGGGATTATTACCCCCCGGGAAAAGCGATCCACCAATCGACTATAACAACCGGGTTCCTACTTGCCGCGGGGTAAACAGAATGCGTGCAGGGGAGTAAGGAAACTTGCCTAAGGCCAGTGGATCGTGAAATGCGAGGGGAGTGCTTTAACCGCTAAGTTACAGGTCTTGGTGTGATTAAAAAAAAATGCCTGGCTTGTGGCCTGGATCTTACTGAGTGGGGGGTGGGTGGGGGGTGGGGAATGGAACGGGACGATAGAGCAATGGGTTGCGTTGGTAACTGACATTTCACCTCTGCAATCCGTTTAGGGACCAGACAGACGGATGGATGAAAGTCTCCTCTTTCATTATTTGGCCTAATAACCAAACACTGAGCGCTAGTGCCAATGAGGACATTCAACGAGGGATTACTGTGCAGCACAGAAGCCGATATGAAAGCAATTAAAACGCTGTTATATATTACACAGCATTGATTTCTCTGTCTCCACTCCCTTCTGTCTCTCTGTTTCCACTCCTGTGTGGAGTAGAAACACCGGCAAGGACTAGTTGAGCCGACTGACCTGCTTCCGTGGTGTGTGGTTCTGTGTGTAAACCTCTGCTTGCGCTGTTTTCAAATACAACAATAATAACCCTCGCATTCGATACAGCGCCTTATCACGTCTTCGAGACGTCTCAAAGCGCTTCACGGCACGTACCGTGAAAGGAATTAACTGTATATTTTGTGGGCGAAACGCGGCAGCCAATCGCGCACAGCAGCGTCCCCGCAAACGGTCGTGGATCGAAGTGACCAAATTATTATTTTCTCTCTGTCATCTCTCTAGATTTGGTGTCTCGTCCTTTATCCCTCTGGTGTTCCTGTGCGTTGCTGAGATGACCAACCAGGCTGACATACACATCCCGGACAGCAGTCTGAGCCTGGAGGACTTCCCCAAGCCCTGCTGGTCTGGGCGGTGTGGTTGGCTACAGAGAAACCTCCTCTTGACGCTGACTATTTTTGGTAAGAGCCAAGCCTCCAAAGTTACAACCACCAATAATAATACTTCTTGCATTTGATATAGCGCCTTATCACACCTTCAGGGCATAGACTGTAGAGTGTAGTGACCGTGTATTTTGTGGGCGAAACTATATCAAATACAAGGATTATTATTATCATTGGCTTATGGCTGAATCTATTCACATTTTCAAGACTGAGGTGGATAGATGTTTGTTAGGTCAGGGGATCAAGGGATATGGGGCAAAGGTGGGTAATTGGAGTTGAGGTACAGATCAGCCATGATCTTATAGAATGGCGGAACGGGCTCGAGGGGCTGAATGGCCTCCTCCTGTTCCTATGTTCCTAACCTAATAGAGTCAGTGCTAACTTGGTTTACAGCCAGACCTGCACCCTAGTAAATCCACAACCAGTCTGGGAACAAAGCGCGCATGAGACTGCGAAAGAAATCCAATACAATGTAGGGATTTTATTCTCTTGATCCGTTTTGAAAACGTGAGCTTTGTCTGGAAAGAGAAAGCGTGTGTGGAGGGATGGTGGGGGAGAGGGGGGGAAGGGGTGGGGGAGAAAGGGGCCTTGCTCCTCCCTACCTCTGTGGCTTGCTATAACTATTGCTATAACTCCACTTCAACCCGCCCGCTCCCTCCGCTCAGCCGCCCTGCCCGCCCCACCATCAGCGGTCAGGCCTTCAACCTCTCTGCCCCCGTCCTTTGGGACGCCATCGCACAGCCCCTTCGCCTCGTTCTTTCCCTTACCTCCTTCAAAGCCCATCTCCAGACTCTCCTCTTCGACCGTACCTTCGGTCACCCCCACCCCCACTACCCTAACCCTCTCCGCCCTCCACCTTTCGTGATCCCAGGGGGAGTGTACCGACGTCTCCTGTACAGCATGCTGGATCACATGGGACTTTAAATAAACAAATAGTCCTGGCCAAAAGAAGATTAAATGTAAAATTATCGACGATGGTTGTCTCCTACATTCATTCAACGAGAAAAAGAATTCTATTAATGTTCGCCCCGAAGTCTCTGCTGTCCTGTAATTATTGCTCGATCCAATAGGATTTGAATTTCATTAGGGTCCCGAGGTTTAAACTGCGTCATTCACCCAGCAAAAACCAAATTAAAATTCCACTAAATCCCCCAAACTGCTGCTGTGTTTCATAATCAGCTTTCGCCATCGGATTGGGGAGGGGGGAAAAAAAAGAAATCCATTGGAAAGAGTGAATGAGAGAGAGAATGAGAGAGAGAATGAGAGAGAGAAAGAGAGAGAGAGATTGAGAGAGAGAATATAATAATAATCCAGCGCCTTATCAGGTCTAAAAGCGCTTCACAGAATATACTGTAAATTAAATGGAATGTATATTTTGTGGGCGAAATTCTGCAGCCAATTGCGCACAGCAGTGCCTCTGTTAGTCGATCGTCGCTTCAGTCCACGGCTGTTTGTGGGGACGTCGTTGGGCGCAATTGGCTGCCGCGTTTCGCCCTCGAAACGCACAGTGAATTCACTTTACAGTGTGTCCTGTGAAGCGCTTTGAGACATCTCGAAGACGTGATAAGCCGCTGTATCAAATGCCAGGATTATTCTATACACACACACATATATATATATATATACACACACACATATATATAGAAATGCAAGTTGTTGTTGTTTGCTTGTTGCCTTGGGACGTCCTCCCGACGTGAAAGGCGCTATACAAAGGTAACTTGATGTTGTTTGAGCGCTACGGGACGCTACCCCATGTGAAGGGAGAGCTGTTTAGAGCTTAGTCAATTCACTTTACAGTGTGTTCTGTGAAGCGCTTTGGGACGTCCTCCCGACGTGAAAAGCGCTATATCAAATGCAAGGATTATTATTATTATTATTATTATTATAAATGCAAGCTATTGCTGTTGTGGTTGCTGTTGGCTTGGTTGGTGCTGTTGACGATTGCTCTGTGTGATGCTCTAGGGGTGATCCTCGGATCGGTGTTTGGGAGTGTCCTACGCATGGTGCCAGACCTCAGCAACACCACCGTTCTCCTGATCTCTTTCCCCGGGGACATCTTGATGCGGATGTTGAAGATGTTGATCTTGCCGCTCATCATCTCCAGTCTCATCACAGGTAAAGGGTTCGACTCCCGGTACAACTCGAAACTCTTAGGCGAAATATGCAGTCACTCCACTTTACAGTACATTCTGCGAAGCACTTTGAGACGCCTCTATATAAAATGTAAGGATTCTTATTAGCGTTACTATTATGCAGGAGGCCCCAGTTTGCAGAGTGGAGGTTGGAGGAGGTGGGGAGGGGCTGGAATGGTTAGGACGAGGGTCTTGAAATAGAAGCAGATACCTCCAGCCAACTCCCCAACTCCAAGTCCTTAAGTTACCCAGAGGATTGAGTGATGGTGTCTTTCCTTCCCAGGGCTGGCCGGCTTGGACGCCAAATCCAGTGGACGGATGGGCACCAGGGCGATGGTTTACTACATGTCCACTACCATCATCGCCGCCATCGTTGGTGTCCTCCTCGTCATCTCCATCCACCCCGGCAACCCCAAGCTCAAGAAGCAGGTCACCATGGCCATGAAGAACGAGGACGTCTCCAGCCTGGACGCGTTCCTGGATCTGGTTCGCAACTTGTTCCCTGAAAATCTAGTGCAAGCTTGTTTCCAACAGGTAGGCCCAACTCTCTGCTTCAATTTCAAGCCATCAGTTTCTTTGCTCAGGTCAAAAGAGACACAGTAAAGCTCCCTCTACACCTCTCCGACCTGCTATCCTCCTACCTACCTTCCTCTGGCTCCGGTCTGCTCCACATCCCCCGCCCCAACCGCCCTACTATCGGTGGCCTTCAGCCTCTCAGCCCTGAGGCTCTGGAACTCCATCCCCAGTGCCTTCGCGTTGCCTCCTCCATTTCCTCCTTCAAGGCCGGTCTCAAGACCTTTCTCTTCGACCGTGCCTTCAGCTCCCCTCTCAACTCTCTACCCTCTCCTCGCTCCCTCCCTTCCCTCCCCTCACCCTGACCATTTCCCCCCTGCTCGGGTCCTGACCCAACTGTCCTCCCGACGTGAAAGGCACTCTATAAATGGAATCTTGTTGTTATTGTGGGTCCATCCACACTCCCAGGTCAGGGTTAGAGACACGGTAAAGCATTTCGCCCACAAAATATACGGTCAGTTCGCTTCACAGTATATTCTGTGAGATATGATGAGGTGTTATATCAAATGCAAGTATTATTATTATTATTGATATTATCTCTTCCATTTAGGCACAAACTGTGTTGAAGAAAATTCCCCTCGCTCGGGAGAAAACAATCAACATGACTCAGGCACTGCTCGCCAATGCCTCCTCGTTGAATGGGACCTTCCAAGTTGGAAATGTCCGACCAGCCTTCATAATCAAGAGGAAGCTGGTATTCAAGGGTGGCATGAACGTACTCGGTAGGCCTCTTCATCACCTCTTTCCCCTCGTCTTCCAATCCTCGCTCGCACTTGTTACTCACCTTCTGGCTGCACGCAGGACCTTGCTGGTGGAGAAAGCTGCTGCTTTTGCCTACAAAAACAGTCACTACACTCGTTCATTACTAGTTTACTGCGAAGCGCGTCAAGATACTTGTTGTCTAAGGTGTGATGTGAGCCCTCGCTTTGATCAATCCATTGGGAAAGCATTCGGTGTGAAGAGCATTGTAAGCCAATCAGGGTGGTCCAACTGGCGGCCCACGGGCTGCATCCAGCCCCCTGGCCGATTTCATCCGGGCCCCACCCTCCCTCCCTCCATTTCATCTGGCCGATCTGCTCCCTCCATAACCCCTAATTGTAATGTTATGGACAAAAGTTGTTGTGGTCTTTGCCCATTGCCCTCTCTTGGGCTTGACCTTCCTCTTCAACTGTGCCTTCGGCCACCCTTCCACTCCCCCCTCTATCCTCTACCCCTCCTGACCCCAACTCCCAGCTCAGGTCACAAAACCCCTGACTGTCCCGCGCCCTGGGATGTCTTTCCGAAGTGAGGGCGTTCACTGTACAAGTGTAGTTTGTTGTTGACTTTGCCCTTTGCTCTGTATTGCGCTCTAGGCCTCATTGGCTTCTTCATAGCCTTTGGCGTGTGTATGGGGCGTCTGGGCGAGCGAGCTCAGGTCATGTCTGACTTCTTCAACATCCTCAACGAGATCATCATGAAGCTGGTCTCCCTCATCATGTGGTAAGACACTGCGAGATAGGAAGCACGTTACTGTGTCTCTAACTGTCTCTTATGCTGTCACTGACCTGTGGATGGACGTACAGTGTAGAGGGAGCTTTACTGTGTCTCTAACCCTGACCTGGGAGTGTGGACGGACGCACAGTGTAGAGTAGCTTTACTGTGTCTCTAACCCTGACCTGGGAGTGTGGACAGACTCACAGTGCAGAGGGAGCTTTACTGTGTCTCTAACCCATCTCAAGACTCCTCTTCGACCGCGCCTTCGCTCACCCTCCTACCCCCACCTTCCCTGCCCTCCACCCCCTCCTGTTCCCAGCTCGGGTCCAAACCCCTGACTGTCCAGCGCCTTGGGATGACCTGCCGTCTGAGTGAAAGGCGTTGGTGTAACGTAATGTGTTGTCGGTGCGGCGGCTTGCGTTAAACGCTGGTTGAGCGCTCCGAAATGCCGTCCGGGTGGGCGGAGGGAGTGGGGAGTGGGGGACTGGGGGGGTGGGGGTCCAACAACTACATAAACGTGAGTTGTTGTTGTTAATAATAACTCGATCCTCGGCTGGGTTCGTGGGAACATCGCTGTGCGCAACCGGCTTCCGTGTTTCGCCCACGGTTAATCCACTCTGCCGCGTATCCTTCAAGACGTCTCAAAGACGGGACAAGGAGCAAGGATTATTATTATTATTTTGATTATGAGTACCATTATTAAAACGCCGGCTTAAACCCTGCGCGAGACGACGCCTGTGGGGTGAAGGGCGTTAGGTAAACACAAGCCGTCGCTAAAACCCTCACCCTCTGGTTGCAGGTACTCGCCCCTTGGCATCGCCGCCCTGATCTGCGGTAAGATCGCGGCCATCAGGGACCTGGAGGTGGTGGCCCGGCAGCTCGGGATGTACATGGTGACGGTGATGGTGGGGCTCCTGATCCACGGAGGCTTCATCCTCCCCTTCATCTACTTCCTGGTCACCAGGAAAAACCCGCTCATTTTCTACGGAGGCATTTTCCAGGCCTGGATCACCGCTCTCGGCACTGCGTCCAGGTGACTCGATCCGCAGTCTGCTTGTCCAGCTGGGACCACTAGTTAGTTAATCAGTCAGTCAGTCAGTTAGTTAGGGCTTTGGCTGGGAGGGTTGACAGGAGCTGAGGGGAAGGATTCCCTGCCCCCAGTAACCGGTCAGCCCTTCCAGGTCAGGGAGCGTCAATGGAGAGAGGAACGCGAGTTAACGTTTCAGAATAATTACTTATTGTGATTATGGTCATGGATTCGGGTTGAGATCTGAGCTGAGCGTGTGTGTGTGTGGATGGGGTGAGCGGCCATAACATTTCGGCCCAGAAAACGCACGGGCACTACACCTTACAGCGCGCCCAGGTGAAGCGCTTCGAGGAGTCCTCGAAGACGTGCTAAGGCGCCTGTGTCAAAATGCCAGGATTATTATGACAGAGACGCTCTCCTGTGTTACAGTGCGGGGACACTGCCTGTGACCTTCCGTTGTCTGGAGGAGAACCTGAAGATTGACAAGCGGGTGACCAGGTTTGTGCTGCCCATTGGTGCCACCATCAATATGGATGGCACAGCTCTGTACGAGGCTGTGGCTGCCATCTTTATCGCCCAGATGAACGGGATCATATTGGACAGCGGGCAGATCATCACAGTCAGGTGCTTGCACGCTCGTTCAGCCGACACTCACTCACACACGCACACACACACACACACACACACACACGCGTGCCCACGCTCAGTCTCGCACACATAAGCGGAGGGCCGTAGCGTAGTGGGTTAGAGCCCTCGCCTCGCAAGTGAGAGGTCCCGGGTTCGATTCCCAGGCGGGACTGGTCAGGGCGAAACCTTAGGCAAGTTTCCTTACTCCACACACACACACACACACACGCGTGCGCACACACGCACGAGCACACAAGCCTCTGTTCACCCAGCAGTAAGTAGGAACCGTATGTGTGGACGCTGCTGTGCGCAATTGGCTGTTGTGTTTCGCCCACAAAATACGCAGTCAATCCACCATATTCTAAGAAGCGCTTCGAGACGACGGGACATGATAAGACGCTGTTATCAAACTATTATTGTAACTCGTGCTTTGTTCCACCTTCAGCCTCTCTGCCCCCACCTCTTCGAAACTCCATCCCACAGTCCCCTTCACCTCGCTCCCTCCCTCCCTCGCTCCCTCCCTCCCTCGCTCCCTCCCTCCCTCGCTCCCTCCCTCGCTCCCTCCCTCGCTCGCTCGCTCGCTCGCTCGCTCCCTCCCTCCCTCCCTCCCTCCCTCCCTCCCTCCCTCGCCTTCCCTTCAACCGCGCCTTCGGTCCCCCTCCCACCCCCACCCTCCCTGCCTTCCCTCCCACCCTCCTGTACCCAAACCCCCCCCACCCCCACAGCAGGCAAGTCAGGCAGCATCTACGGAGAGAGGAAAGTGAGTTACCATTCCAGATCGATGACTTTTCGTCAGAACCCTTATCGACCTGAAACATGAATTCATTTTCCTCTCTCTCCGTAGATGCCGCTTGACTTCTGCTGCGTTCTCCCGGGCGCTCCTGTTTTTTATTGCGGTGCAAGTGTAACTTGTTGTTGTTGTTGTTGTTGTGGTTGAGCAGCTTGACGGCTACGTTGGCTAGCGTGGGAGCCGCGAGTATTCCCAGCGCGGGGCTGGTGACGATGCTGCTGATCCTGACCGCGGTGGGCCTCCCCACCCAGGACATCAGCCTGCTGATCGCTGTCGACTGGCTGCTGTGAGTGACTGCTTCACCCGCGGCAGAGTGGCCGGAGACCAGAGCGGGCATCAGGGGGCATGGCGCGGAGGGGGAGAGAGAGGGGGAGGGAAAGGAGGGTGAGAAATGGTAGGGATAGAGACAGAGGGAGGAATAGGGAGAGGAAGATCGAGAGGGAGGGGTAGAGAGGGAGGGATGGATGGAGGGAGGAAGGCAGAGGCAGAGAGGGATTGGGGGGGGTGGCAGGGGATGAAGGAAGGAAAAATAAAGAGGGAGGGAGGAGAAGATGGGGAGGGAAGGCATCGTGCTTTGCCATGGTCAACTGCTCTGGGACACGAGAGAGTGAGCGAAAGAGAGAGATCGCACTGTATAAAATGTGACAATTGCTGAGTGTGGTCCTGTCTGTTTCTCTCGTTTGCTGACGGGGTCTGTGTGTGCGTGTGTCTGTGTGCACGTGTCTGTCTGTTTGTGCGTGTCTGGTGTGTTTGTGTCTGCGTGTGCGTGTCTGCACATGGGTGTGTGTGTGTGCGTCTGTCTGCGTGGGACAGGGACCGTATGAGGACGTCAGTGAACGTGGTGGGCGACTCGATCGGAGCGGGAATCGTGCACCACTTGTCCCGGGGGGAGTTGGCGGCCATTGACGCCCAGAACAAGGACCGCGACGACGTGGAGATGATCAAACTGCGTCCATTGCCAGCCCAGGAGATGAACCACAAGATGGAAATCAACACCCTGCTCCCCTACGGAGGCTACAGCTCATTACCCACCGAGGATTATGAGGTAACCCACCGGGACCCCACGCTGCGCGATGGGCCCTAACCAAATAATAATAATACTAATAATAATTTGGCCACTCAACCTGTCACTGTTTGTGGGATGCCCTCTCGTGTGCTGTGTTTCGCTTACAAAACACACGTTCTCTACACTTTGCAGCCTGTTCCGTGAAGCGCTTTGAGATGTTTCGAAGACGGGATAGAATGTATATACTATATATTTTTTTGAAGGGATATCGTTACCCCCGAAAAGCCAATCGACTAACAACCGGGTTCCTACTCATTGCTCGGTATTGCTAGAGACGCGTGTGTGTGGATGCCCAACATTTCGCCCTGCCCGCCCGCAAATTGAACCCAGTTCCCCTCGCTTGTGAGGCGAGTGCTTATTGTTAGGTGGGGGAGGGAGGGGGGTTTTGGGGGCAGGAAGCTTCTGCGTAGCGCTGGGAGAAACGTTTTACCGCAGAATTAATCGCAGCCTCAGTCTGCCTGTGCTGACCTCTCTCGTTCGCAGACCACGGACACCAAGAACGAGGGGACAGAGCAGGAGCTGGACGAGCTGGGAGAGGGGGAAGGTAGTGAGGGGCCGGAGGAGATGGAGATGGAGGAGAGCGACAAGGAGAGAGAGGCCGAGAACTTGCCAGGAGAAGACAAAGAGGAATAAAGTCAAGTCAGTCGAAACTGGTGAAATTGTTAAGCTTATAATCCTTAGAGAGAAAAATACACACACACAGTAGTGTTTAGAGACACGGTTGTACATCCAGTTGTGGAGTCCTGATCTTTAGAGACCATTTCAGTAGCACGAGCCAAAGGCATTGGGTTCCAATCCATATATACTTTGCTGTTAATGCCCTTCCTTCCCCTCCTCTTCAGAAGATTGAGTCCGGGAAGAAAGCAGCACGATCCGAGAAGGGAGAGAAGCGGTGAAAAGAAAACCAGAGAGAGAGGGAGAGAGAAAGAGAGAGTGAGGAAGAGAGAGAGAGAGAGAGAGAGAGACGAGAAAAGAAGCAGCAGGTAGGATAGAAAGTAAAAGCAACGAAAAGGAGCGAGAGAGCGAGACTGTACATATTGTTGTTTAAACCATCTCTTGTATTTACTGGATGTCGGGCGCGGGTGTGATATGTACATATTGACCTCACCCCCACCCACCCACCCTCCCACTCCCACTCCCCCACCCAACCCCCCCACCAAAAGAAAATCAGTGTCGTAGGGATTTTAGAGAGAAGACAATTTTAGTGCTCGCAAATGCTTTTTTTTTAAAAAAAAGAAATTGTTACCTTCATATGTGATAATTCCGTGTCTCGTTCACCCCCGACACCCCCACCTCCGCTCTGTATGTGTGTGTGTTGGTGTGTGTGTGTGTATTGTTCCTGTAGGAGCCCAGTTCAGAATACTGTACTCCCCGGGGCAAGGCAGGTCTCATATTCTTCAACTGGAAAGCTTGACCTGTGTGGCTTCTTTGGCTCAATTGCCCTTGAGTTTAGAAGGTTGAGGGGATGATCTGATTGAGGTGTTTGGGAGCGACGGTTCATTGATCTATACTCGCCTTATGTGGTTGGTACAATTCACTACGTCTGACGGCAGTCTGTTTTGGGGAGATGGTGGCTGGTGGAGAGATCAGCATCGAGGCTATCTCATCTCGAGCTGACGGTGTGTTATCAGTCATCGAAGAAATCTCTCTCTCTCGAGGAAGGTGGGTGAGGAGAGAGGTGATCCCTTGATCTACATTTGCCCTGTGTTGTGAAAGGCGCTATACAAGTGGAACTTGTTGTTGTCGAGTGCATTTGATAGACCCCTTCGGGGGAAGTGGATAGTAGGGAGAGATCTACTGCCATCTCAAAGTGGTGGTACGTGACTGTAGAGCCTTTTAAGAGGGGTCTTGAAGAGAAGGTGTCTTTAAGGAAAGTTTTCTTGCCCTGAAAATTAACCCACCCGCCCCCCCACTTTGTTCTGAAGGACGGCGAAATAAAATAACAAGTGCGAGAGTCTGAAGTGTGGGTGACACCATTTGGGCGTCTGAGTAAATCTCCCGCTGGAAGCCAAGTGCGCCATTTCCCAATGAGCTACTAACTGGGGTGTCAGTACTGAAACTGCTTCTCCTCCTGTGTCTCTCAGTATTCCCTGCCGTCCCCCTCTGCTGTCACTCTGCTCTGGTGACCTTGTGTTGGGTGCTGTGCTTGTGTTCTCTGCGTAACCCCCTACGGTAATGTTTGTTGGTGGTTTTAATAAACTTTTGGTGCTCTTCCAACTCCGCCTCTCAAACTTTGGGGCTTTGGGGAATGTGTCCCGACAGTGTGATTGTTGTACACACGTGTCTCTTCACACGCACGCACATATATCTCCATACACACGCGCACACACATGTCTGCACGCACACACACAAATCTCTCCACACAGGGAAAATCCATATATGCACACACAGACATCTTCATACATCCACATATCCACAAACACGCAAATACATATGTATATTCCTTATAACAGTGAAAAGGAAACCAGAGAGAAAGAGAGCGAGTGGCCAACTTCTCCCCGAAAAAAATTGGGGTCCATCAACCCACGACTGTTTGTGAGACGCTGCTGTGCGCACAAAATACAAAGTTAATTCACTTTACAGTGTATCCTGTAAAGCTCTTTGAGACATCTCAACGACGTGATAAGACACTGTGCCAAATGCAATTTGATTATTATTATTATATCATGTAGGCACAAAACAAGAGTCCAAGACATATCTGAGCGTGCAGCCTATTTATTGGTTAGGTACAAGATGGGGAGAGGAGAGGGGAGGAGTGGGCAGAGAGAACGTACCCAGAACCCACAGTGAACAATAAATAGCAGCATCAGCGACTTGGGTCACCTCACAACCACAAGTAACTCCGGGTCCTCTTCTGGGAACTCGCCAAAGAGCAGCTTAACCGCAGCGCACACGGCCTATTTAACTCACAAGCCTTCACCAGAGAGCGGGAGCTTAGTCCCTATCGTTGTAATTTGTTTTATTTACCCGAGAGAGCGAAATGGCAAGTAACAGGCCCCTGAGCAAAATCCAATCCCTCTGCCCTCTCCCACTCGTACGGAGGGTGTTGGGGTCAGAGATGTGCGGGTGCACAGAGTTGCGGGTGTATTTGAGATCATAGAATCGTGCAGCACAGAAGGAGGCCATTCGGCCCATCATGTCCGATTATTATATTACAATTATATATATATATATAATATAATATTATTATATAATAATAAGTAATATTATTATATTACTCATCCACACACCCTCCCGATTGAACCTTTGCCAGGCCATAGAATGAAATCACTGTCGCTGCTTCTTCACTCTATCCCTCACCATCATCCCTCCTTTTGGACCCTTCAAGTGCCTTAATAACAAATAATTCAATTACCCCCCCCCCACCCCGCGCACACATAGAATCATAGACATTCACAGCGCAGAAGGAGGCCATTCGGCCCATCAAGAGGCAGGAATAATAAAAATAAATCGGTCACTCAACCCACGGCTGATTGCGGGGACGCTGCTGTGCGCAATTGGCTGCCACATTTTGCTTACAAAAATATACAGTCAATTCACTTTACAGTGTATTCTGTGAAGCGCTTTGAGACGTCTCGAAGACGTGATAAGGCGCTGTATCGCTATTGAGATCTGTAAAATGGAGCTGGTCAAATCACACTACTTTAATATCCAAACGTTGGTAAATTATAAGACTACATTACGCAATCGACTAAACTAAACGTGTAAAATGTTGCCTTGAGGAATGGCAGGCAGGTTTTGGTCTATGTAGAACATAAATAATTTACTCTGGTGAAAGCACAGTTATAAGAACCTTCAACGCTTTCCCTTCCTTATTATTATTATTATTAATATTTCCTTCGGTTCCCTCCACTTCCTGACTCTCTCCCCACCCAGCGAAGCAACCTCAGTCAGTGGAAAAGTCGACCCTTTGAGTACTCCATGTGCACTTTGACAATAACTCGCTCAGTATGAGGTCTAAAGGAAGTGAATCAACACTAAGCCCGAAAACAGAGTGTGAAAGATTGATTACTTAGCAGGCGAGGTTCCAAAAAGTTTTTTTTTTTCCTCTCTAATATAAAAAAATATTGCGTTCTAAGTACTGATTGTTGACACCCATCTGCACGTCCCAATATGGCATCTCAGGCACGAGGGTGAATAGTTAGTTGCCTGTGTTTCTAACGCAGATGGGGACGAGGTTTCGGGAATCCTCACAGGGTGGTTAACCCGATTTCACTGTCCACTTTCTTCTTCTGTTTTTCCATCACTGCCTCCAACTCCGTGATACTCTGATTGTCCTGAAATATATATATCATTCGGGTGAATTGTGGTGCAACAGCCACAACAAATTCTACGCACCGCCTTTCATGTTAGGGGGGAAACGTCCCACGGTGCCAACAATACCATCGGGAACGAGGGGGGAGACATCATCTTAAAATTAGAACTGAGACATTTAGGAGTGAAATCGGGAGGCACTTCTTCCCGCGCACAAAGGGTAGTGGAAACCTGGAACTCTCTCTCCCCAAAAAGTCCGTGGAAGCCGGATCCATTCAAATCATTATTATTTATTTTTTCGGAAGGGATTATTACCCTCCGGCAAAGCGATCTGCCGATCAATTAACAACCGGGTTCCTACTTACTACTGGTAAACAGGCGCGTGCGTGTGTGGAGTAGGGAAACTTGCCCAATGTTTCGCCCTGTCCCGCCCGGGGATCAAACCCAGGTCCTCTTGCCTGCGAGGTTGAGGGCTCTAACCACTGAGCTACAGGACTCTACAAGAACATAAGAATTAACCTAGATTTTGTCCTGTGTCTCTGTTTGCTTACCTCCAATAGTGATTTCTGCACCATTATCTGACTGTACACCCTCGTCCCCTCCTCTGGGCTCACGGACTTTAACTCTTCCTTCTGTAGGGAGAATAGTTGGGCTCCGGTCAGAATTCCCAACGAGTTCACCGTCCTGACACAGAGGGAGAGAGAGCGAGAGAGAGAGAGGATGGGTTAGAGCAGGTGCGAGTCCAACCTTTTGGCTGCCCTCATCATAATTTTTTTTGGGTGTTTCCCTTGCAGAAACGTAACGTAACTTACAGCGCCTTATCACATCTTCTGGACGTCCCAAAGCGCTTCACAGAATACACCGTAAAGTGGAGTGACTGCGTATTTTTGTGGGCGAAAGGCGGCAGCCGATTGCGCACAGCAGCGTCCCCACAAACAGCGGTGGATCGCAGTGACCAATTGATTGTTGCGATCATTTGGTTTTGAAGGAATCAGAAACCCTGGGAAATAATTCCGATAGAAAGGGGAAGACATGAGTAACGTAATAACTCACGGTGAACTGAAACCTTTAGCCTCCAGCCAGGCCCTGACCTCGGAAGCAGGTGAGTCGTAGTTCAAGGGCACTGAGGTGTCCAGGGTCTTCTGCACTTGAAAGCTCTTCTGCGGGGCGACCCGCCCGCTAGTTAATCTCAGCAGCAGCTCCTCGTTAATCTTGGAATTGAAGTCTAGCGAAGGAAACAGCACGTGGGTTACTGACCAACAGCCCGTATCTATCTACACAACGTCCCTCGCTGAAGCGGGGTAGTATCCCAGAGCGCTTGACAGTGGCGGAGAAGAGGGGAGGTGACCTTCAGGCCCGACCTGAAGATGGGGAAGGAAGGGGGCAAAGCGGAGAGGGATAGAGGGAGAGCGTCCCGGAGTCTCGGGGCGTGGTGGCTGAAAGCTCGGCCACCGATGGTGGAACCGAGGCCACGAGGGAAACTCACCCTTAAGTCCTTAAGACCGAGAATCTCAGCATTTACGTTCTTATTTATGTAATACACAGTTATACCGACCCACGGCTGTTTGTGGGGGGAACGCTGCCGGGCGCAATCGGCTGCCGCGTTTTGCCCACAAAATACACAGTCACTCCACTTCTGTGAAGCGCTTTGAGATGTCTCTACATCAAATGCAGGGATTATTATTATTATTATATAACGTTCAGCATGTTACCCAGCAGCACACCATTGCGTTACATAACATACAGTGCTGGAGGCAGTAACACATGGCACATAGAACGTGTCCGTGAGGCTGCCGTGCTGTTACCCAGCTCACCTTTCTCTTTGGGTGGGCTGGAGGGATGATCTGGGATCTGCTGAATCTGGGGCTTGAGTCGGTTGACGTTTTTGGGGAAAGTTGGGGGAGGGGTGCCCTTCCTGCTTTTCCGCTCTTCCTGTAAAACACAACAAGGAAATAGCCTGAACCAGAGAGAGAGAGAGAGAGAGAGAGAGACGATGTGAACGAGACACAGAAGAGAGAAAGAGAGAGGGTGTGAGTGAGAGATGGTACGAGCGACAGAGAGAGCGAGGAGGAAGAGAGGCAGATGCTGTGACGGTCGAAGAGGAAGGAAGGTCTTCGGGTGGGATGAGGAAGGAAGGGGGCAAGGCATGGGGGAGGGAAAGAGGGAGATTGTTGCAGAGTTTCTGGGCGTAGTGGCTGAGAACACGGCCACCAATGGTGGGACGGAGGGCACAAGGATCAAAGGGAAGGGGATATACCTTGGGGATCACGTAACTGTACATGGCGGTGCTGCTGTCAGTATCTGGGATGGGAGCCAGGATATTGTAGGGAACGTAGCCAACCTGCCCGCTCCTGTTTCTCATCTTCCACCACTGCTTGGAGTCATCCAGGACCTGGTGGGGAGCAAACCCAACATCAGCCTAACTGTCTCCTCGCACTGACACCTCATCACAAGGAACAGGAGATCATAAGAGACGTTTGGGAGAAGTTTCGGTCTATTCGGTCTCATCCCACAGCGTAGTGGTTCGCGCAATGTCTTTGGGCAAGCGATGCGGTTTGGGCTGGTTAGACTCCAGCGGTTACCCCCAACGCACATCTGGGCTCCCCCCCTAAAGCAGGATGGGTCCCTCCAAGGAGAGAGAGAGCGAGCGAGCGCGCGCATTCAAACAGTGTAGGTGGGAGGCATGGAATTCTCAGCTTGGTTTGGACGCTCTTAAGCAAACGGGGATGGGTTTCCGCGGGCGTCAGACCAAAAAAATAAGGTTACTTCACCTCCAACACTTCCCCGGACAACACAGACAGCTCAGTGTTATTCCTGGCCACAAAGTCATAGCTACACTGCATGGGTTTCCTCACACTCTCCTCATGGTGACTGTGAAAACAACAACACAACATTTACACAGCGCCTTTCACGTCGGGAGGACGTCCCAAGGGGCTGGACAGTCAGGGATTTGCTCCCGAGCTGGGGTTTGGGATCAGGAGGGGGTGGAGGGCGGGGAACTTAGGGGGTAGGAGGGTGACCGAAGGCGCAGTCGAAGAGGAGGGTCTTGAGATGGGTCCTGAAGGAGGAAAGGGAGGGGGTGAGGTGAAGGGGCTGGAGTTCCAAAGGTGGGGGCAGAGAGGCTGAAGGCCTGACCGCCGATGGTGGGGTGGGCCGAGCAGGGATATTCATAGTGAAGAACATTCATAGTGTTTAATGGGACAGTGTAGAGGGAGCTTTACTGTGTCTCTAACCCTGACCTGGGAGTGTGGGCGGACAATGTGTTGTATGTACGTACCCATTGGTGTGTGAGATGGTGGTGGCTTGAGGATCAGATTGCTGTTCGAGAGAGAGAGAGAGAGAGACACACAGAGAGAATCATTTTAAACAGCTCAATGCAGAGAAGAACAGCCAAGATACGAGGAGACATGTCTGGAAATCTTAAATTACTTGTAGAAATTTATAACGGTTTGGGCATTAGCGGTTATAAGGACTTTTGCCCCCAAGCTTTGCTTTGCTTCGCTTACGCCCTGACTTATCTCAACCCCTCTCCTATTTCTGTCCTGCGGGCGAACTTGGGACAACCTGCGGTCCAAATTTTGCGTCGGTTCCTACAATAATCCTAACAAAAAAAATGGATACTTTGGTCACTGAATTGGCTGCGTTTCACACCCACAAAAATACACGGTCGGTCGACTTTAACCTGTGAAGCACTTTAGGTCTCGAAGACGTGATGAGGACGCTGTATCCGATGCAACGGTGATTACGATGACGTGTGCGTGGGTTGGAATCTGAGGTGCACTTCCATTGGTTTTCCCGCAAGTGGCGCTACCGAGTGAGTAGGGTTTGGACTCAGTAGTGCCACCTATAGGCAGCGAGCAGCACTGCAAGGCTTATTATTATTATTATTATTATTATTATTATTATTAATCCCCATTCCCCTCGTCATCATTCCCCATTGACCCGCTCTGGGGCGCTGCCTTGCGTGAGGGGCAAGTTGTTGTTGTTGTCGTCGTTGTTGTTGTTGTTGCTGACCCACCTGCAGCCGTAGCATCTCGTGTTTCAGTTGCAGCTCCACGGGGTCCTCCCAGGGGTTGCCCTGCTGGTCAAACTGGTTGGGCTGCCAGCCCGAGTTGAAGGCGATGTGGTAGGGCGCCCCCCACTGTTCCGGGGGCAACTGCATCCTGCCATCAAGCAGCAAAATCAGTCAAGTGAGGCCAAGGCCACCCCCCCACCCCACTCCCGCCTCGTTAACCCCCCCCACCCAATCGCTAGCCACTCATTCCCCAATCGTCCGCCGTGTTTCGCCCACAAAGCACACAGCCGATTCACTTTACGGTATGTTCTGCGAAGCGCTTTGAGACGTCTCGGGGGATCGTGGCAAGGCCCCCGTAGCCGTTGCCTGGATTATTATTCCCTACAGCAAGCACGCAGTCACTACACTTCATGGTAAATAATATTAAGGTGCCCTGCATTTGATATAACCCCGTGGAGATGTCGCAAAGTGCTTCGTAGAATATGCTGTACAAGTTATTTTTCTAGAGTTTCGTGGGTTGAGTGACCGAGTTATTATTAATTATTTGAAGGGATTATTAACCCCGGAAACGCGATCCGCCAATTGACTGACAACCGGGTTAATACTTACCGCTGGGTAAACAGAGGCGTGTGGGGGAGAGTAAGGAAACTTGGCTAAAGTTTTGCTCTGCCTGGAACACCGAGCCATGAAACCCTGAGTCCTTACCTGGATAAGGTCCAGTTGTCCCCGAGTGATTTCCACAGTGCCATTTCCTTCTCATTCAGGGTGGCCTCCAGGAGATTAACCGCCTCGTGGGTAAGGTAGGGGCTCCTGATTGATCGGGCAATCTCGATCCCAGTGGTGTCCAACATCTGTACCAGAGCAAAGAGCCTTTCACGTCACATCTTGAAGCCCTCCAGCCGTGGATTGAGTGACCAAATTACTATTGTTATCATTTTTTTGGAAGGGAAAAGCGATCCGCCAATCGACTGCTTACTGTTTGCGTGCGTGTGTGCGAGGAATAAGGAAACTTGCCCAACGTTTCACCTGCCCTGGTATCAGAGGTATTAGCAGAACTCAGTTTCCTCCATTGACCCTCTATCCCTCCAGGGGGAGAGAGGGGAGGGGGGGAGGGGGTTGGGGGGGGGGAATGGGCAGCTCAAATGTTGCCCCTGTGAATTGGCCTTTTCAGCTCAGTGCGATCCGAGGGAGAGAGACTGAGAACGAAGGTTGGATGCTTACATTTTCAAGAGGTGGGAACAGGAAGTGGATGAGCTCAACAGCGCTGGGGTTCATGATGTGGTTCTGCAGTTTGGTCTAAGGGCACAAGAGCACGTAGTGAGAGACCCAAACCCCAGCCCCAACCCCCAGCCCCAACTCCCAGCCAACCCCAGCCCCGACCCCCAGCCCCAACGCCCAGCCTCAGCACTGAGCCCCGACCCCCAGCCCCCAACCCCCAGCCCCAACCCCCAGCCTCAGCCCTCAGTCCCAACCCTCAGCCACAACCCCCAGCCCCAACTCCCAGCCTCAACACTGAGCCCCGACCCCCAGCCCCCAACCCCCAGCCCCAACCCCCAGCCTCAGCACTGAGCCCCGACCCCCAGCCCCCAACCCCCAGCCTCAGCCTCAGTCCCAACCCTCAGCCCCAACTCTCAGCCCAGATCAGTACATCCATCTACTTAAAATGTCTCTCCACCCTGACCACACAGCCTCCTCCCCCCCTCCCCTCCGCCTTCACCACACTGTCCCCATCCCCACATTTGCCCCTCGCCCTACAGCTCCCCAGTCCCCCCCCTCCCCATCTTTACCCTTCACCACACAGCCTCCCCGGCCCTCCCACACAACCAAACACACAAGTACGTACACCCTCGCCACATGGCCCACCTCAATGCCCATTCAGTCGCTGTTCGTGAAACAGTGTGTAACTGTGAGCAGTGTTTGCTAGTGAATCACTATGTGTATGTGTGTGCAGTCGCTATGTGTGTGTGCAGTCGCTATGTGTGTGTGTGCAGTCGCTGTGTGTGTGTGTGTGTGCAGTCGCTATGTGTGTGTGTGCAGTCACTGTGTGTGTGCGCAATCGCTGTGTGTGTGCGCAGTCGCTGTGTGTGTATGCAGTTGCTGTGTGTGTGTGTATGCAGTCGCTGTGTGCGTGTGTGTGTGCGTGTGTGTGTGTGCAGTCGCTGTGTGTGTGTGCAGTCGCTGTGTGTGTGTGTGTGTGTGTGCGCAGTCGCTGTGTGCGTGTGCAGTCCCTGTGTGTGCTGTGTACTCACCAGCAGGCTGAAGGAGTACTTGTATTTCTGCAGAGTGTCTCTGAACTCGGCCTCGGTGGGGGGCCGAGCTCGTATGGTCAGGAGACCCTCTGTAACCGGAGAGAACGTCAATCACACCCAACCTGACCGGCTCGCTCAGCAACATGTCATAACAGGGGCCCGTTCCCAGGCTCCTTACCCCCCTTTTGTGTACTTACCCCCCCCCCCCGCCATGTACCAACCCCCTCCTACACATCCCCTGCTGTATACCCCCGCCTTCTCCGTATATTGCGCCCCCACCCCCCGTGACCCCGTTATTATTAGTTTTTTGGAGGGGTTATTTCCCCCCAGAAAGCAATCCGCCAATCGACTGACTACTTATTGCTGGTAAACGGAGGTGCGCGCGCGCGTGTGTGTGTGTGTATGTGTGTGTGTGTGGAGTAGGGAAACTTGTCCAACGTTTCGCCTTGACCCGACCCGCCTGGGAATCGAACCCGGGTCCTCTCGCTTGCCTCTCGCGGCGAGGGCTCGAACCGCTGAGCGACAGGGACCTCCCGTGCGAACTTCCCTCTTCCCTCCTGCGTACGTGCACTTACCCCCCGACTCTCTACCATTTTTTTTCTTTCCCATCCGACTCCTCTTCCGCTGGTCGAGAACTTTATAAGCCTCGGCCGCTTTTTGCAGTCTTGCCATGAATCCCTCGATGTCATCAAAGGTGTGGTTCAGAATCATCTGCCAGACGAAGGGTGGGGGGGGGGGGGTGGGGGGTGAGGGCGATTATAGGATTAAATAACAACAATAATAACCCTTACATTTGATACGGCACCTTCTCAACTCGTCAAGACCGTGCATTTTGCTCACTTGCTCGCTGTTATATTCAGGTAATAAACGGTGTCGCTCACCACGTCCCGAGCTGTGCGTTGCTCTGTTTGATCCATCGCAGTCCTACCCGAACCGTTCAGCTCTGCGTGAATACAAACACGCGCCACAGGAGTAAGGGAAACTTGCCACAGGTTTCGCCCTGACCTGTCCCCCCCCCGCCCGGGAATCGAACCTGGGTTCCTCTCCCTTGCGAGGCGAGGTGTCTAACCACTGAGCTACAGGACTCCCACGAGTGGTGTGATGATAATAATAATAATAATAATAATAATAATCCTTGCGTTTGATATGGCACTTTATCATGTGGTCGAGACGTCTAGAAGCGCTTCACAGGATACACCGTAAAATGGAGCGACTGTGCGTTTTGTGGGCGAAACACGGCAGCCAATTGCGCACAGATCTCAGATAATTAGATTAATCTCGACCCCCCCCCCACCACCCCCCCACCTCTCCTCACCTTCCCCCCCCCCCCACTAAGGTTCTGTGGGTTAATCTAAACCGGAGTCATCGAGGGGAGGGAGTAGGAGGTAACTTGAGGAGTTCGGTACCTGGAGTTCCAGGGGGTGGCTGTGTCAACACCACAACTGTGGGCTCCAGGGGTGTTAACTCATGGTGTTTCCCGCTGGGATTGTAGGTCAGAGGGGCTCTGGGCGCTAAAAGCATATCCTCCGTCTCCCTGGGCTCGTTCATTTTCTGCTGGTTGTATCTGGAGAGAGAGAGAGAGAGAATATGATAGTTAACAATCCTCGCATTTGATACGGCGCCTTATCGCGTCTTCGAGACGTCTCGAAGCGCTTCACAGGCTACGCCGTAAGGTGGAGCGGCTGTGTGTTTTGTGGGCGAAGCCCGGCAGTCGATCGCGCCCGGCGACGTCCCCACAAATCCGCTCTTCGGATGTGACCCTAAACCTCTTCGAGCGCTTCTCCTGACGCGAATCGCGTAATTGTACAATTTCTTTCAACTCACCTGAGAACATCAGGTCTCTCATTGCTGTTCCCATTTCTGAAGTCTGTGATGGCGCTGTTTACGTCGGATTTAATCAACTCCGCCTGTAGAGAGAGAGAGAGAGAGAGAGAGAGCAGTATCAGCCAAAGGGTCTTTCACTCCCTGCGCAGCTTTTAATAATAATAATAATCCTGGCCTTTGATACAGCGCCTTATCACGTCTTCGAGACGTCTCAAAGCGCTTCACAGTGAATTTGCTGCAAAGTGAATTGACCGTATTCTCTGTGGACGACATAGAAACACGGGAACAGGAGGAGGCCATTCAGCCCCTCAAATCTGTTCCTCCATCCTATAAGACCTGTACCTGACGTCTAATTACCAATTGGTTATGAGGCTGTGCGTTGATCTAACTGGAGGCACCACCCGTCCTTCCGTTACTCACCCCTACATCTGAGCACTGGAAAAAGTTGACTTCGGGGTTGACCTGATGAGCGTCTCTACACACCAGGATCAGGACAGAGTTAAACTTCCAGTTTTCCTGCAGGGAATCACAGAGCTCGATCGCCCCTAGTGGATAATTCTCCAACACGTCCTGCAAACAGATAATAATAATAATAATAATAATGATCCTCCCATTTGACACAGCGCCTCATCACGCCTTCGAGACGTCTCAAAGCGCTTCACGGGATACACCGTAAAGTGAATTGACTGTGAAAGCACAGCAGCGTCCCCACAAACAGCCGTGGATTGAGTGACCAATTTACTCTTATTTATTTTGAAGGGTTTATTACCCCCGGAAAAGCGATCCGCTAATCGACTGACAAGAGGATTCGCGCTGCTGGGTAAACAGTGGTGTGTGTGTGTGTGTGTGTGTGTGTGTGTGGAGTAAGGAAACTTGCCCAAGGTTTCGCCCTTCCCGGGAATCGAACCCAGGACCTCTCGCTTGCAGTGCGAGGGCTCCAACCCCTGAGCTTCTTGCGCTCATGGGTTAAGTTCAACTGTACCTTAGAGTCAACGTCAAGTAGGCTGACTGTGGAATTGTCCACTTTCATGAACATTTCCTGTGTCCAGATCTTCCCTTTGGCGTCCAGAGTTTTGAGCTTCTTTACGGCTTCTTCCACGGTCTGAGTGTCCTCCCCAGGACCCAGATTAATCGTGGTGAGGTGCTGGACAAAACCATAATAATAATAATCATATTATATGTCAAAGGGTCTGTCGTACCTTCTCTGACGAAAGCTCATTGACCTGAAAAGTTAACTCATTTTCTTCTCTCCGTACGTACTGCCTGACCTGCTGCGTGATCCCAGCGACACCTGTTTTCATGTTACATATAATAGTAATAATAGTAATAATCCTTGCCTTTGACACAGCGCCTTATCACGTCTTCCGAGACGTCTCAAAGCGCTTCACAGGATACGCTGCAGAGTGAATTGACTGTATGTTTTGTGGGTGAAAAGGTACCACAGCAGTGTCCCACAAACAGTCATGGATTGAGCGACCAAATTATTATTATTATTATATTTTGTGTGACTTGCGTTATGCATTACTTACGTTCACGTAGTACTGGGACTCGTCCTCCATTGAAAAGCTGGTATGGGCGTACTTTTTCCTCTGTTCTGTGAAAAGAGAAGCACAATAAATTTATTTAAAGTTCCTTTTATTATTTTATTATTATTATTATTATTATTAACGTTCCTTTCCCTGTGCCCCCTCCGAATCCTCTTGCCTCTGAGCCAGAAGGGTACACTGATGCTCCAGTACAGTGCTGGATAATATAATCCTTGCACTGGATACAGCGCCTCCTCAAGTCTTCGAGACGTCCCAAAGGGCTTCACGGGACACACTGTAAAGTGAATTGAATGTGTATTTTGTGGGCGAAATTCGTGGCAGTTTGCGGGGATGTCGCCGTGTGCGAGTTGGCTGACAGAACGCACAGTCACTGCACTTCACAGCAGAATCCTGGATAAGGTGCTTTCTCAAAATACAAAGCTTATTATAATTATTAAAATAAGATGCATCCGCACCTCGTAAGGCAAGGCAACAGGTTTCAGCAAGTCCGCCTTCGGCCCACCTTTGTTTAAGAAGACTCCAGGGTTTTTTTTATTGCACCAGAAAGGTTTTCTTTTGTTTTCTTAGCCCTTTACATGTCGAAAAAGTCTCAAAAGCGCTTTGCAGCAATTCCCATCGCGTGTGTAGTGACTGCGTAGGAGTCCCTGTAGCTCAGCGGTTAGAGCGCTCGCCTTCGCAGAGCGAGAGGACCCGGGTTCGATTCCCGGGGCAGAGCGAAATGTTGGGCAAGTTTTCTTACTCCACACGCACACACGCACACACACACACACACACACACGCGCGCACTCACACACACACCTCTGTCTACTCAGCAGTAAGTAGGAACCCGGTTGTTAGTCGATTGCTGGTTTTCCGAGGGTAGTAATCCCTTCAAAATAATAATAATAATTTAGTCACTCAATCCACTTGCCTAACGTTTCATCCTGCCTGGGCAACCGAACCCGGGTCCTCTCGCTTGGGAGTCAAGCGATCTAACCCCCTGTTCCAGGTCTCCACAGGTCAGTAAATTGGTGGGTTGGAGTGGTGGGGGGGGTGGGGGTGGTCGGTACAGAGGATAGTTGGTGCAAATGCCCCATTTTAGTGCTGCGAACCCTGTGTAATTCTATTTAATCTTGCAGCCTAAGTGGCCTGTTACCTGCTAGACCGGACTGGCTGGAAAAGGCAGGGCTTTGGCTGACTATCTCTCCGCCCGATCTCGCTCAGTTGGCAGCTACTACTGCCATAAAACAGGTTGTCTTATTGCTTCACATTCCTACTTTATAGATAAATACAGCAATGGTCTCTCCTTAGAAAGGATTGCAGTAGAGAGCTCCAGTGAGGGGTGGGTTGAGGCATTGGTATAGAGAGGAGGGGAATGGGATTAGAGTAGAGAGCTGTAGTATGGGAGCAAGCACGCTCCTCTTCTCTATGCTGGGGCTCGCTCCCCCACTACAGCTCTCTACTCTAACCCCCATTCTCCTGCTCTCTCTCTCTCTCTCTCTTCCCATCGTGTCTGTGCTGGGGCTCACTCCCCCACTGGAGCTCTCTACTCTAACCCCCATTCCCTCGCTCGCTCGCTCTCTCTTTCCCCCCATCGTGTCTGTGCTGGGGCTCGCTCCCCCACTGCAGCTCTCTACTCTAACCCCCATTCCTCTGCTCTCTCTCTCTCTCTCTCTCTCTCTCCCCATCGTGTCTGTGCTGGGGCTCGCTCCCCCACTGCAGCTCTCTACTCTAACCCCCATTCCCTGCTCTCTCTTTCTCCCCCCATCGTGTCTGTGCTGGGGCTCGCTCCCCCACTGCAGCTCTCTACTCTAACCCCCATCCCCCCGCGCTCTCTCTCTCCCTTTGTGGATGCACCAACGCACTCCCTCGTCGGAAGAATGCCTCCGTCAATGTATTTGAGCGAGTGCCCAGACGGTATTGTGTGGATTGACTCGGAATCCAAGAGACATTATTCTTTCCCCTGAAACTCACACCACAAGTGAACCGAGGACAAAAGGAAGCTAATTCCTTCACACTTGCAATAATCGAGAGTCGTTTCATAAAGAATACGTCGATCTGAGTGAGCGCTTTGTGTGGTGTAACCCTAACCTCTCACCTGTGTACTGTCTGCGTTCACAATGTGCTCACATTTCTTTCTGGCAGCGAGAGAGAAGTTCACCATAAAAAGGCCCTCTCTCACTTGCCTCTATTGTGCTCCATCTTCACACCAGACAATTCAGTCGCTCTCCAACACTGGAGCTCTCTACTCTAAACCCCATCCCCTGTTCTCTTTCTCTCTCTCTCTCTCTCTCCCCATCTCCTGCTCTCTTTCTCTCTCTCTCTCTCCTCACGTGGCTCTTACCTCCTCCACCTACCCGACCTCCCCTTAAAACTCTCCGAATTCGTACGGCAACCTCGCCGTCAGGTTCGACCCCCAATTATCCTTCCTCCCCCACATCCGGTCCCTCACCAGCACCGCTTTCCTCCACCCCCGACGCATCGCCCGTCTCCGCCAATACCTCACTCCAAAAGCCGCTGAAGCCCTGGTCCGTGCCTTTGCCACCTCTCGGCTGGACTACTCCAACGCCCTCCTCACCAGTCTCCCCTCCACTACCATCCATAAAATCCAACTCATTCAAAACTCTGCCGCCCGCATTCTCACCCGCACCGAACCCCTCTCCCCCGATCCCCCCCCAGTCCTGGCCAGACTGCACCGGCTCCCTATCCCAGAGAGGATCCACTTCCAAGATCCTCACCCTCGTATTCAAGTCCCTCCACTCCTTTGCACCCCCCGACCTCTCTGATCTCCTCTCTCCTCAAAACAGTACCCGTTGCCTTCGTTCCTCCGGGTCTGGCCTCCTCCTCGTCCCCCGAGTCCTCCGCTCCACCCTGGGCGGACCTTCAGCCACTACGCCCCGAAGCTTTGGAACTCCCTTCCTCACTCCCTTCGTCTCACCCCCTCGCTTCCTATTTTCAGGTCTCTGCTGAAGACCTTTCTCTTCGACCGTGCCTTTGGTCACCCTCCCCCCTTCCCCCCCACCCCCCCACTTCGGCTCGGCCCCGGGATCCGTTTGCTGTGAAGCTCTCTCTCTCTCTCTCTCTCTCTCTCCCCATCCCCTGGGACAGATTATTAACGAACCTTGCGTTTGATACAGCGCCTTATCACGTCGCTGAGACGTCTCAAAGCCCCTTCACAGAATATACTGCGAAGAGAATTGACCGTATATTTCTGGGCGAAACGCGGCAGCCAATCGCGCACAGCAGCGTCCCCACAAACAGCCGTGGATTGAGTGACCACGTTTTTCTGTAGGACCANTTTTTTTTAACCCCCGGAAAAGCGACCCGCCAGTCGATTAACACCCAGCTTCCTACTTACTGCTCGGTAAACAGAGGCGCGCGTGTGTGTGTGTGTGTGTGTAGGTGTATGTGTGGAGTAATTTGCCTGAGGTTTCGAACCCAGTTCCTCTCGCTTGCGAGGAAGAGGGCTCTGACCACTCGGCTTCAGGGCTCCACCGAGCAAAAGAGAAGTCCTGTTAAATCCACTACCTTTTTTTCTTGTCGTGAGGCTGTTTGGCCCCCACAGTCGACCACCTGTTTGTCCTGCGTGCGACGCGTCGCCAAACTCTCTCTCTCTCTCTCTCTCTCTCTCTCTTTCTCCCGCACGCCTCTCGCAAGGTGAGTGGGAAGTCGCTACGCAGTTGACAGGTACGGGGGTTTTATACGCGTTTAAAAAAAATCCTCTCCATGGGAGGTACTAGCAACAGGGGTTAACCCTACGAGTGCCATTTCCATTGGCGTCCCTGTGGCTCAGTGATTAGAGCACTGGCCTCGCAAGCGAGAGACCTGGGTTCGGTTCCTGTTTATCCAGCAGTAGTAGGGACCCGGTTGTTAGTCGATTGGTGGATCGCTTTACCGGAGGTAACAATTCCTTCCAAAAAAATAATAGTAATAAATGGTCACTTCAATCCGCGACTGTTTGTGGGGACGTCACTGCGCGCCATTGGCTGCCGAGTTTCGCCCACAAAGTACACAGTCACTGCACTTTACAGTGTATTCCGCGAAGCGCTTTGAGACGTGTCGCAGACGTGATAAGGCGCCTGTATCAAATGCAAGGGTTATAGGCTTATTATTATTGAGAAAAAAATACATCTCTGTTGCTCTCGGCCTGTCCCACTTACCATATATAGACCGGCCACTGGGCTTCGAATGATAGTCCCTGCAAAGAAGAAAAGGAAATAATTAATAATAGTAATAATTCTTGCGCTTGATATAGTGCCTTATCACGTCATTGAGACGTCTCAAAGCGTTTCAACTGTAAAGTGAATTGACTGTATATTTTGTGGCAGAAACGTGGGACCCAATTGTGCACAGCAGTGTCCCTCAAAAATAGTATTGANTTTTTTTTAAGGGATTATTAACCCCAGAAGGCAATCCACCAATTGACTGCGTAAACAGAGGCATGTGTGGAGTTAGGAAACTTGCCCAACATTTCTCCCTACCCGGGAATCGAAGCCGGGTCCCCTAACCGCCGAGCTACAGGACTCCCGTTGATGGAATGTGTGTGTGTGTGTGTGTGTGAAATGTGACCAGGTTTCTAAACAGTGGATTGTCAGCCCTGTGATTGATCTGAGGAACACTAGCAACCTGTCTAGCAAAAGTATTCCAACTGGTTTGTGTACATTAGCTGTCTCCAGGCACTGAAACCTGGCTCGATCCCAGCCCTCAGTCACCGCTTTGCATATCATTGTCTTCTACCTGCGAAAGCCGAGGCTTACTTACACAGAAAAGCTGTGAGTGAGGGAGGGAGTGAGTGAGGGAGTGAGTCAGTCAATCAATGAGTCAGTCAGTAGGTAAGGCCTTTGATCAGCCGAGTTCATAAAATTCCTTCCATTTGGTATATAGCGCCTTTCCCGTCAGGAGGACGTCACCACCATAACAATCCTCGCATTTGACACAGCGCCTCCTCACGTCTCCGAGACGTCTCAAAGCGCTTCGCGGAATCTACTGTCAAGTGGAGTGACTGTGTATTTTGTGGGCGAAACGCGGCAGCCGACGTCCCCCGCAAAACAGTCGTGGATTGAGTCACCAATTTATAATGGTTATTTTTTGAAAACGTCGAAGGGATTTCGAGCGATCTGCCAATCGACTAGCAACCTACTTGCTGCTAAGTGAACAGAGGCGCGAGTGCGTGTGTGTGTGTGTGCGCGTGCGTGTGTGGAGTAAGGAAACTTGCCAAACATTTCTCCCTGCCCGGGAATCGAACCCGGGTCCTCTCGCTTGCGAGGCGAGTGCCCTAACTGCTGAGCTACAGGGGCTCCGCTATAGTGTGTAGTTTGTGGCTGAAAGGCTGCAGCCAATTTGTGCAATAGTGAGGTCCCGCACTCGGCCGTGGAGTGAGCGACCAATTTTATCGGGTGGTTGGGCGGTGGTGGGGTGGGGTGGGGATGGGGGGGTATAATGACCATCCACCCGAACAGAGCTCAATAAAGCCCATCTCCTTGCAACCTTCTAGCCAACGCGGGTCAACGGACTCCGGTGAAGAGGGAGAGAGAGAGAGAGAGAGAGAGAGAGGTAGATGAGCCCATCTCTGTTATCTACTCTTGCTTTATTACTTCGAATCCATATAGTCTAGGCTGACTCTCCAGTGCAGTGCTGGGAGAGTCCTACGTTGTCAGAGGCGCTGCTCTTCATACGATTTGCTCGGTGGGAGCAGACCGAGGTCCATCTGGTTTGCCTTCCGCCATCCTGGCAGTCTCTTGACATGTCACGTCCCAAACTAGACACCGTAGTTCCCCCCCCCCCCCCCCAAATAATCCGTAAGAATCCTTCAGCGAAGGTGTTTGTTTGTGGGACGCCGCTGTGCGCGCATTACCTGCCTCGTTTCTCCCACAGCGTCATGGCAAAGGGGAACAGTTGAGATTTATTTACAGTCTTGCCCCCGCCCACACGCTTCCTGAGGGTGTTGGCTGCGTTTCATGTGACGCACCCTGTTACTCTACCAATTTCAGTCAGTTTCATTTGAATGTCAAGGGGACTGAGGAAATCGGTCATGAACTCTCCATTTACGAAAGCAGTTTAATTCCTGCACGAGAGCCAATATGGCGCTTACCTTCCGGTTACTCATCGGAGGGTAATAATGAGAACAATCCCTGCAATTGATGTAGCGCCTTATCACGTCCCCGAAGCATCTCAAAGCGCTTCACCGAACACACAGCCCCGTAAAGTGAGTTGACTGCGCGCTTTGTGGGCGAAACGCGGCAGCCGATTGCGCCCAGCGGTGGATTTGGTAACCGGTTTATTGTTCCTTTGAAGAGGTTATTACCCCCTGTAAAAGCGATGCGCCAATCGGCTAACAACCGAGCTCCTGTTTACTGCTTGGTAAACAGGGTGAGGAAGCTTGCCTTTGGTTTCGCCCTGCCCAGGAATCGAACCAAGGTCCTCTCGCTTGCGGGGCCAGCGCTCTGACCACGAAACTACGCGGCTCCACAGCCCTGTATCACACTCCCTCCGCTAAAGGCCTTGCTGCAATGTTCCGACAGCTAAAGCGTTGAAGGACAGACTGTCGTACAAGCTGACGTTCACTGACCTGACAAGCACAGGTGTTGTACGCAGGCGTATACACTCCCCAAACCCCCCCACCCACCCACCCACCCCGCCCACTCCCTCCCCCACACCCTCCCCACACCTCAGCATCGCAATCTTCTCAATTTACACATTTTACACACACACCGCATCACGCCTGCGTAACACCTAATACTTGTTTCGCCCCCAAAATATACAGTCCCTACGCTTTGCAGTGTATTCCGTGAAGCGCTTTGAGACGTCTCGAAGACGTGATAAGGCGCTGTGTCAATTGTAAAGATTATTATCATTATTATAATAATTACATGCACATACACACGCGAGCAGATAAGAAACGTACCCCGAGTGGGAGCGCTCCCGTGAATCTTCAGACCTGTAACTCATTCTCGGTAACAACTTTCTGCAAAATCAATGGAAAAGTACGTTAAAATGGGTGGGGGGGAGAGAGAGAGAGAGAGAGAGAAATCATTCAAAAAAATACCCTTCAATAACAATTTGGTTCTAACTGACGAGTGCTGTTTGTCCTCTAGTAACTCTCCCCCACCCTCTCTCTTCACCCCCCCCCCATCTCCCACCCCTCACCCCAAGTGTCTATGGCTGGCGTTCGAGACCTTGGCAATGGTGTCAGCAATAATCCTGGCATTTGATACAAGGCCTTATCACGGTCTTCGAGACGTCTCAAAGCGCTTCACACAATACACCGTGAAGTGAATGTTAAAGTGAATCAGATTCTGATAAGATTTATAACAGTAATAATAATAATAATCCAAGGTTTATTACTAGCACAGGGTGCTAAATTCCACAGGGAGAGCTGCGACAAGGAGGGAACAGTCTAATGGATTAATAAAATACCAGAAACTATATGGTCTGCATTGTTCTCCTCCCAACTTCCTATGCAGATAATATGATATCTCAAGTGGGCCGTGAGCCAAATTCCACACAGCATTAATCATCCCTTTGTACCTTTAATCTCACCCAGGTCCCCGTTACCTTCTGAGCACACCCATCATCTCACCACTGCAACAGTCACTACACGACAAAGCATTGTCAAGGTGCTCAACAACAATAATCCGTGCATTCCATGCATCGCAGGAGGATGTTTTGGGATTACCATACCGCCCTACCCTTTAGGGATTTGGCTGTGGGGGTTAACAGGAGCTGAGGGGGAAGGATTCCCAGCCCCCAGTGACTGGTCGGCCCTTCCAGGTCCTGCCGATGGGCCGGGCCGGTCTGGACTGTCATCAGCAGTTAGTGCCCTGGAATACTGCGGCCCCTCCTGGCTCAGGAACCGGGGAGCTAGAGACCGTCACAGAGGCTTGCGCTCTCTCTCTCTCCCTGGAGGGAATCATCCTGTTTACTGAATTCCGGAAAGTTGGCAAGAACCAAGGCTTCGGGGGTGGGGAGGGGGGGGGGAAGCCCAGAGTGTGCGTTGGGGGGTAACTGCTGGAGACTAACCACCTAAAACCGCTCCTTGTCCGGTTAGGACCACCCTACCCATTGGGGCGTTGGCTTGCAGGGTTAATGGGAGCTCCAGCTGTAAATGGACTACCATCAGGAGTCGGGCCTTCAGCCTCTCTACCCCCACACCCTATGGCACTCCATACAAACGTACAGTATTGTTGTTGTTGTTGCGTGTAACGTACTGTGGCTGACCTAGGAGCGAGGGGTTGGACTGTGTGGAGGGAGAGGGGGAGCGAGGAGGGAGCTTTACTCTTTATCTAAGTCATGATCTTGCTGAGCTGGGTGTGCTCGCTGGCACAGTCGTCATTGGTGACAAGGTTTATTGAGAACAATTCAGGAAAGGTTTAGTAAACAAGAAACCGGCTCATCACACAGAGCCTCCTCCACTTCCTGAGCGATTCGTCGCTGGGACTTCACAGGGAGACTTCAAAGGAAGCACTAAGATAAGGAGAATAATGAGGAGCATTTGATATAGCACCTCATCACGTCTCTCGAGACGTCTCAAAGCATTTTGAGTTCACCTCCTCACCTCAGAACGTCAAGCAAGAGGACCCCGGGTTTGAATCCCGGGCAAGTTTCCTTACTCCGCACACACACGCGCCTCTGTTAACCCAACAGTCAGTAGGAACCCGGTTGTTAGTCGATTGGCAGATCCCTTTCCGGGGCTAATAATCCCTCTGAACACCCAAACAACTTTGATCACTCAATCCACGGCTGTTTGCGGGACGCCGCCGTGCGCCGTTGGCTGCCGGGTTTGGCCCCACGAAGACACAGTCACTCCGCTTGACCGGGCGCCCTGCGAAGCGCTTTGACACCTCTCGACGGAATGCTGAGGCGCGACATCAAATGCAAGGGTTACGTATTATTACTTGATAAGTATTCATCGAGGTGATAAGGCACATTGTACACGAGGTTCATCGATTGATCTATTTTATCTCAGTTGTATCCCGGGTCAGCCGGGTGGCAAACTCAGGGGGAAGTGGACCATTAGGGTGCGATGGAATCCAGTAAGACATTGGGTGCAAGTCAGTACACTCTGTGTGGGAAACCACGGATTGTATGTAGTGCGTGTGTATGTGCGTATGTGGTGTACGTGCGTGTGGGGCGTAGGTATGTGGCGTGTTTCCTGTAGTTTCCCGTAGCTCAGTGGTTAGAGCGCTCGCCTCGCAAGCGAGAGACTTGGTTTGATGTATGTGCACATACACAGGCGGTCACACACATGTATGTACACATACACACACACCCACCCACACCCACCCACACACACACACACACACAAACTCCCCCTTTCCCACCCCAGGACACAGGAAAACACAGCACATTAGCATTCAATTTCACTCCCGTATATCTTGCGCACACCAACACACGCCGCCACGAAAATTTCGCGGAGACGTAGGCAAAAAAAGAGTTGATTTGATTCCACGACAAAATCTTTTTCTCCGTGCAGCAGCGAAGGGGGGGGCGCGCGGGGGGGGGGGAGTGGGGAGGTAAATTCTTCCTTCCTTCCTTGGATCCGATATGGCGCCTTATCACGCCTTTGAGACGTCTTGACAAGTGGGATTGACCGCGTATCTTGTGGGCGGAACGCGGCAGCCGATTGCGCACAGCAGCGTCCCCGCAAACAGCCGTGGATTGAGCGGCCACATGATTACTATTATTTTTTGGAGGTTATGTGTACCCCCGGAAAAGGGGGTAATCCGCCAATTCACTACCGACCGGGTTCCTACTGACTGCTGAGTAAACAGAGGCGTGTGGCGTTAATCATCAACCAATTTCAGGTGGAGGAGGTTGTGGGGGTGGGGGAATATAACCTATGAACCCTCACCAATTTCCCCCCTGTACCCCCTTACCCCACATCCGTGAGTCTTGGCAAAACACCCTTTCCTCTCGTTTCTTGAAGGGTTCGCACCAAACTCACCCACCACCCTCTACACCCTCTATACCCCCCCCCCCCACCCCCCCCACACACACACACAAAACACTTTGGCTCTATCAGCCCCTCTCCCCTCCCCACACTCAGCCGAGCAAACCACCCCCTCCATCTCCCTCCCTCCCTCTCTCTCCCTCCCTCCCTCCCTCCCTCTCTCCCGCTGCAAAAACGTTTTAAAAACAAATGGCAAAACCTACCCGAAGCTCTGCACTTTTCTTTCGGTCGCAGTTAAAATCCACTCAATGAGTCAGCGAGCGAGCGAGCGAGGGAGGGAGGGAGGGGTGGGGGGGAGAGGAGAGCGAGACAGTCAGAGACTCACAGATAAAACCTGTTACTCTGGCAGGTGCTGGTCAATAAATAACGCAGATTTGCGGAGCTGATCTTATTGCCTGTCTGACCCCGTGACTATGTTGGAAGGTATCAGCCCGGAGTTATACAGAGCTACACCCTTCAGAGGTATTCTCTCTCTCCCCCTCCCTCCCTCCCTCTCTCTCGCTCGCTTTATCGCTCTGTGTGTGTGTATGTGTGTGTGGGGGGGTCATTCTTTCTCCGGCAATGCAACACCTCCACATTCCAACGAGGCTGTGTTTTGGAAACACCTGTTGTTTCAGGATGACAAGTCTGTCGAAATCTAAAGGTGTCGGAAAGCCGGCTTGTCGCTGAATCCCTTCCCCCACCCCCCCCAGGGTAGGTCTGAGCGGGGAGAGGACAAGGAAAGCTTTTAACCTTTGAGTCCTGCGGCTCGGGGTGGGTGGGGGGGTGGGTGGGGGGGTGTTAGAGCCCCTCGCCCCGCCAGCGAGAGGAACCGGGTTCGATTCCCGGGCGGGACGAAACCTTAGGGCAAGTGTCCTTACTCCAGTGAGACGGCGCTCCCCTTGTTTCTGGGTTGCTCGATGGTTAAGCCTCATCAAGAGCCAATGGCGCCCATCAGCAACCCCCTCCCCAAACTAAACACCCCCCACCACCCCCACCCCCCCCCCACCCCCAGAAACAGCCGTGGACCGCGATCACGCCTGTCGCAAACGACACGCGGTGGTTTAGCCCGACTGTTCTGAAACGCGGCGGGTTTTTTTTCTACCCTCCATGGCTGCGGTCGGGCATTTGATGACCGGTCGGCGGTCGGCAAAACGAAAGCGAGTTAAACATAGCCCTGTGTGACAAAAGGGAAGGGAAGGGAGCGAGATGCGTGTGTGTGTGTGTGTGTGCGTGTGCGTGATTATAGTCAGGGTGGAGGGGCGGACAATGCCATCAGAACCAGGACGAGATTCCACGTACATTAGGTAATGCAAAACACCAGCCCGTACCGAGAGAGAGAGAGAGAGACAGAGAGAGAGAGAGAGAGACAGAGATGACGAGGCAGAGAGAGAGAGAGAGACAGACAGAGACGCAGAGAGTGTGACCAATAAGTCGGTTGTTGGGCAATTGGTGGATCTGCCTTTTCCGGGGGTAATAATTCCATCGAAACAGTAATAATCGTTCGTGGTCACTTCGATCCGCGGCTGTTTGGGGGGACGCTGCCGGGCGCAATGCGGCCGCCGCCTTCCGCCCCGCGCAAGACACACAGCCGCTCCGCTTTACAGCGCACCCTGCGAAGGCGTTTCGAGACGTCGCGATGAGGCGCTGTGTCAAATGCAAGGATTATTATTGCTATTATTAACGCAGGCCTCACCCACACCCACCCTCCCCACCCTCCCCCCAGTACTGCAATGGAGCGTCAGCCTCTTAGACTAAGAGCTCAAGTCAACAATGATTTTCATGGGGTGGGGTTGGGTCTCACGTCTGCCTCTGAACTCCAGCCCTCGCCTTGGTGACAGCAGATATTTAAAGAGCTTTTAGACAGGAATGTTGGGCGTCAAATAGTCACCGAGTTAGTTTAGCGAAGGCTCCACACCCTCTTTGGTTGGTACCTCGAGACATTCTCTCTCTCCCCCCATGGTGTCTTGGGCTGGTGCTCGCGCCCCCACTGGAGCTCTCTCCTCTAACCCCATTCCCTGCTCTTTCCCCCCCCATTAATCGCTTCAATTCCTTACTCCTCAAATATTTGTCCATCCTTTCCCCCAGGTTGGCTCGGGGAAGGGAAATGGGGTCTCTCACTCTCTCTCTCTCTCTCTCTCTCTCTGTGCAGTAATCTGTACCGTTCGATAGCAATGTCTGGAGACAATTGATGACATCTGAATAATAATAATAATAATAATAATAAAAATAATAATCCTTTCATTTCATACAGCGCCTTATCGCGTTATACCTTACACCCCCGCACTCTGGAACTCTATCCTGCAATCCCTCCGCCTCACCTCCTCTCTCTTGCCTCCTTCAAGTCCCGTCTAAATTACCAATGGCCTAATAATCCTTGCCTTTGACGTATAGTCTTACGTGAAGTCTCGAGGCCTTTGGTCGCTCTCCCACCCCCCCGCCCCCCGCACAGCCCTCCACCCCACATACCCCCCCCCTTGACCCCAACTCCCAGCCCGGGTCCGAAAACCGTCCAGCACCCTGGGAGGCCTTTCCGACGCGAGGTGTCATTTGCCCGTGGTTGACCTTATCGCGTCTTCGAGACGTCCCAAAGCGCAGGGGATGGGGCCGGTGGTTGGAAACGCAACCGGGGTTAGCGAACGAAGACGGCTCTGGTCGCCATTTGCAATGGAAAATACCGAGCGTTCAAAAAGAACTGTTTTTTTTAAGCTGCCGCCGTCACTTGACTTGCCTTGGGACGTCCTCCCGACGTGAAAGGCACAGAACAAGTGTAACTTGTTGCTGTGGTGGTTGCGGTTGTTGTTGCTGCCTGAACCCACCACAACAACAACAACAACATTCCATTTATAGAGCGCCTTTCACGTCGGAGGACGTCCGAGGCGCTGGACAGTTGGGTCAGGACCCGAGCATTGGGGGGGAAATGGTCAGGGTGAGGGGAGGGAAGGGAGGGAGTGAGGAGGGGGGAAATGGTCAGGGTGAGGGAAGGGAGGGAGCGAGGAGGGGGTAGAGAGTCGAGAGCTGAAGGCTGAAGGTCAAAGAGAAAGGTCTTGAGACCGGCCTTGAAGGAGGAAAGGGAGGAAGCGGCGAAGGCACTGGGGATGGAGTTCCAGAGCCTCGGGGCTCAGAGGCTGAAGGCTCGGCCACCGATGGTCGGGCGGTGGGGGCGGGGGACGTGGAGCAGACCCAGAGGATAGCTCGAGGCCCCGGAGTAACACCATGACAGACCACAGTTTACCAAGACATACTTGGCCCATTTTGCCCACAAAATGCGCAGTCACTACACTTTACGGTGTATCCTGTGAGCTCAAAGTCCCTGATGTGCGGGTGGTGGTGGGGGGGGGGGGGGGGGGGGGGGGGCTTGAACCCACAACCTTCTGACTGAGAGGCCAGAGCTGAGCCAGGCTGACATATCGCCTGTGCGCGCGCGCGTGTGTGCATGTGTATGCATGCGTGTGCATGTCTGCGTGCACTTTTGTGCATGTGTGTTGCATGTCTGCGCGTGTGAGTCTGTGTGTGTGTCTGTGTGTGTGTCCGTGCCCGCGCGGGCGTGTGTGCGTGAGAGTGTGTCTCTCCCTCCCTCCCTCCCCGCACCCTCCCCACCGTGAGCCCCTTTGAGACGTCCTCCCGGTGCGAAAGGCGCTATTATCGAACGTGAGCTTCATCATCAACGGCGTATTTAATCCTCGCCTTCGACGTACAGTGTCTCTCGTGAGGTCTCGAAGCGCTTCGCAGAACACACCCACCGCGAGGTGCGGTGATTGCGTACTCTGCGGGAGAAACGCGGCAGCCGATTGCGCGCAGAGAGGTGCCTCGCCAACGAGTCGTGGGTTGAGCGGCCGTATTTTTTTTTGCTGGCGGGGGTTATTCCGCTCCGAAAGGGATCCGCAGATCGACTAACAACCGGGTTCCTACTTACTGCTGGTAAACAGAGGCGTGTGCGCGTGTATGTGGGCGTGGGTGTGCGTGGGTGTGTGTGGGTGTGTGTGTGTGGGTGTGTGTATGTGGGTGTGTGTGTGGGGGGTGGGTGTGGGTGTGTGTGGGTGTATGTGTGGGGGTGGGTGTGTGTGTCTGGGTGTGTGTGTGTGTGTGGGTGTGTGTGTGTGTGTGTGTGGGTGTGTGTGTCTGGGTGTGTGTGTGTCTGGGTGTGTGTGGGTGTGTGTGTGGGTGTGTGTGGGTGTGTGTGTGTGTTGGGTGTGTGTGTGGGTGTGTGTGTGGTGTGTGGTGTGTGTGTCTGGGTGTGTGTGGGTGTGTGTGGGTGTGTGGGTGTGTGTGTGGTGTGTGTGTCTGGGTGTGGGTGTGTGTGTCTGGGTGTGTGTGTGTGTGTGTGTCTGGGTGTGTGTGTCTGGGTGTGTGTGTGTGTGTGTCTGGGTGTGTGTGTCTGGGTGTGTGTGGGTGGGTGTGTGGGGGGGTGGGAGGGTGTAAGGAAACTTGCCTAAGGTCTCGCCCGGGAGTCGAACCCGGGTCCTCTCGCTTGCGCGGCGAGTGCTGTAACCCCCTGAGCCACGGGACTCGCTCGCGCGGCTTTGCGTCCGAGATGGTGCCCCCGTTTTCAGCGACCGTCGGCCAGGACCCCCTCCCCCCCCCCCCCACCCCCACCCCTCAGCCCCCGCAGCGCAGAGGCATTCGACCACTGGGTTCTCACCCCCGTTGGGGCTCCGCGTTTACACTGAATTCCCGTCCCGTTGACTCTCTGTTTGCAGATGTTTATCCGATGCCCTTTTACGTCTCTCACCGACAATGAGAGCCCTGAAAGCAGCAGCTGAGCCACTCCAACCCGTCCTCACAAGGTCAGCGCGTGACTCACAGAGCAGAATGCCATCAGCCGAGTCGGGCTGACGCACAGCGCAAGTGACTGCAGTGCACACGCACACACACGCACACGCACACGCGCACGCACCACGCATGCACACACGCACCACGCATGCACACACGCACCACGCGCGCATACACACACACACACACACACACCACACAGACGCATTCACCACACACATATACACACCACACAGACGCACACACGCACCACGCGCACGCACCACGCACACACACGCACCACGCGCACACACACACACACACACCACACAGTCGCATTCACCACACACATATACACCTGCACACACACCGTGCGCGCACACACCACACAGACGCACACACCACACGCGCACACACACACACACACCACACAGATGCATTCACCACAAAAATATACACATGCACACACACACCACACAGACGCACGCAACACACACACACACACAACACGTGTGCACACGCACCACACACATACACACACACATACACACACGCACTGCACACGCGCGCACACACCACACACACACCGCGCGCACACACACACTCACAGGCTGCTATTCTTTATATGGCTGTTACACACACACGTTTCGTCCACAAAATATACAGTCACTACACTTTATGTTATATTTCTGT